GAGCAGGGGCCGATCCAGCCAGGGGTTTGGGGAGCTTCCCATGAGGGCCGGGTAGGAGAAGGGAAGGGTGACCAGGCAGGGGTCCTGCACGTGCAAAGGCCCTGCAGCAGGCGGGGCTTGTAGGGGTTGAGGATTTTTCTCCCCCCACCCTTTCTCGCCCCCAGTCCCACCTTCCGTGCTTGGAGCCGAGGCCCCTCAGGAGGTGCTGGGCCTGGCTGGTGTAGGGGTGGAGCTGGAGTGCCAGACCTCGGGGGTCCCCACGCCCCAGATGGAATGGACCAAGGATGGGCAGTGAGTGACCCCCGACGGGTAGTGATGGGGTGGAGCCTCGGCCTGGGCTGGTGGAGAGGGCCTCTGGGGAGATGGAACTCTGCAGGGTTAGAGCTTGACAGGCATTGCACGAGCCAGCCAGGGCCCAGGCAGAGGGCGGTGTGGGGCACATCCACCCCCCAGCCTGAGATCGCCCAGGTGAGACCCTGCTTTCAAATGGCAGGGTTTTCTCATCACTTAGCCAGCCTTCCTTTCATTTCTAAAACTTTTTCAAAGGCGTTTTTTAAGGTATTTTAAATTTAAGGAATCAATATGATGTTTACCATTCCAAAGTGCACAATTCAGTACGCTGTGTTCAGTACTAAACACAAGTACATCCACAGTGTTGCACATCCGTCGCCTCTATCTGGTTCTAGAACATTTCATCACCGCCACAGGAGGCCCTATACCCATTAGCACTCAGTGCTCTGTTCCTCCCCCGCCCCAGCCCCTGGCAACCACTAACCTCCGTCTCTGTGAATTTCCCTGTATTTCATGTAGATTTCATGCAGTCATACGTATGTAGTCTTTCGTGTCTGGCTTCTTTCACCTAGCGCACAGTTTTCAAGGTTTTTTCACGTTGTAGCAGGTTTCAGTACTTCATCCCTTTTCATGGCTGAATAATATTCCATTGTAGGGATGAACCACTTTTTGTTTATCTGTTTATCCATTGATGGGCCCTTGGGTTGTTGGTACCTATCAGCAACTGTGAATCTTCCAGGCTTCCGTTTCCCAAGCAGCAGGCTCCCCTCTGTGTAGCCTGCCCCTGCCAGCTGGCCTTACTGACAATCTTGACCATCTTTCCAGACCTGTCCTTCCGGGGGACCCTCGAATCCAGCTGCAGGAGGACGGCCAGGTTCTCAGAATCACCACCAGTCACCTGGGGGATGAAGGGTGGTACCAGTGCGTGGCCTTCAGCCCAGCCGGCCAGCAGGCCAAGGACTTTCAGCTCAGAATCCACTGTGAGCCCAGCCCCTTCCCGGCCCCCACCACGGGCTGCCCACTGCATGGAGGGAAGACGAGGGCACAAACGGGGGCCTATGAGGAGCGAGCCCCCGGTTCAGTAAAGCTGGGGGGGCGGTGGGGTGGGGTGGACCGGAAAGAACAGAGGGAATCCGGCCCAGTGTTTCCCAGATCCCACTGTCCCCATCTGAGCTTCACAAGTTTTCCTATTCCTGATACCACTCAGGATGATTGTTTAAATCAAGTCACTTTTCTTTACACCGAAACTCATTTATGTAAAAGGATGCCTAACACATCAAAGGGAAGTAGGAACCGGGGCTGCTTGGCCTTCGCGGGAGGAAGCTGTGAAAACAGATGCAACCAAAGAGGGGTTTTGGAAACCCTTAGGCGTGAGCTGCCTGCATGTGGTAAAAAGGGCAGAGTAGAAAGTTCTAGAAAGGTGACGAACATAGTCGCACCAAACGCACCAAACAGCCTTTTCGTTTGTCGTAATCAGGCAGGAAGGAGATTTGGGGAGGGTGTAGCTGTTCTGTTACGAGATGCATGCCCACATGCCCTGAGGGTCAGCTTAGGTACCACCCATGGTGTGTGACCTGCCCCGTAGGAACCCCGGATCCAGTTCGGCCCCTCGTGTTACAGATGGGGGCACTGAGCCCCAGAGAGGGGAAGTGACCTATGCGGGTCATACAGCGAGTCAGAGGCCAAGTGGGGTCCGGAGCCTGACCTGTGGCCCCTCCCCCACTTTCTGCGCCCCTTGTGATGGCCGGGCTTGCCCCCCACGTCAGCATGTCCCTGGCCGGTATCTCCTGTCTGTCCCCAGAGCCCCCTGCCCCTCCACCCACCCCTGCAGTAGAAGCCTGTGACATGTGCGGTGCTTGTGGCCCACAGACAGGTGCATGGGGCTGCAAGGGGTGGGACACCAGCCACCTCGGTGCTGGGCAGGCTCCCTGTGATTGCCCCCCGCCCCCCATTGTCCTCAGCACCTCCCACCATCTGGGGCTCCAACGAGACAAGTGAGTTGGCCGTCATGGAGGGCCACCCTATGTGGCTCCTGTGTGAAGCCCGAGGAGTGCCCACGCCTGACATCATCTGGTTCAAGGATGGGGACCCCCTGCTTCCAAGTGCCGGGGCCGTCTACACCAGGGGCGGCCGACAGCTGCATCTGGAGAGGGCCCAGGGCTCGGACACTGGCATCTACACCTGCAGGGCCAGCAACCCCGTGGGGGTCATGGAGAAGGCCACCCGGCTGGAGGTTTTTGGTGAGTGGCCCGGGGTCACAGCAGGAGCAGTGGTCAGCTGGGGCGAGTGGTGGGAGGGAGTCTGGGCCGGGATGGCCTCCATCTGGCTCTAAAGGTGGGTGAAGGGAGCAGACAGAGGCCCAGGAAAATGCGAATGAGGGGTTACCCAGGGAGAAGGGTCATCTCAGCTCGTCCAGCCTTCCTCAGGCGGGTGAGGAAACCGACGCCAGGGGAAGGGCCTGTCTCGGGGCCCCAGCGGAGCCGAGTGGAGAATCCAGGTCTCCCCCTCGTGGTTTAGGGCTTCTCAGGAAATTGCGCCCACACCCCCACGACCACAGCTAATAACTAACTGCTCTTAATTAGCCACGCACTGTGGTCCAGACCCCCTGGGGCTCGTCACAGCGCTAGCTAATTTAATCACGGCACAGGGACTAGGGCCCTGGTCCCCCCACTCATGGGTGAGCGTGGTGGGCTCTGGGGCTGGTCCAGGTCACCCCGCTGGGAGGTGAGAGGACCCAGTTCCTACCTCCAGGGTCTGACGTGCGCTCTGTTAACCTCAGCGTTGGCCTGCCTGGAGGGGCTTGGCTCTGAGGACATGTGAAGAACTCAGAGGACAGGGTGTGTGTAGGAGGGCAGGGATGGGTCTGAGCAGATGAAGTTTAGAAGGCAGAGTGCAGCCTGGTGGGGTCATTCTGGTCCCTCTCGAGGAATCAGCTCCGGAGCTCTGGTCCCCAAAGATACAAAGGGCTTGGATGCTGGAGTCCTGGGGACCCCAAAGGGAAGTTGAGGTGTGTGGGGTCTACGGGCAGCAGCCAACTCTGGGATTCTTATTCAGGGATCTGAGAACCTCTTGGAAATGGATGGAAAATGCACGTGTGTGTTTTCATTGTATTTTCAGTGGGGCTAGTGACCCAGGCAATGTTGAGAAGCCCATCCCGTTCCCTCATCGCCCCATGTCTCCTGGCAATGACTCTGTGGGCTTAGCAACCTGGGGGCCCTCCCCAAGCGGAAGAGAGAAGCCCTCCCTCTGGCTACCCCCTTGGCCATCACTGGCTGAGTTAGGAGCCCCCAGAGGCCGGGCCGTCTGGGCTAGGGTCTGCTCGCCTCCTCAGGCCAGGGAGGGGACCAGTAGTAGGAGTAGAGGCTCTGGTCTTGGGCTCTGGGGAACCCATCCCTTTGGGTTCAGCAGATCTTGAGAACCTACCGTGTGCAGATACTGAAGACGCACAGAGACAAGTGTCGTCCTGCTCAGGCTGAGCTCACGGGGGTCGCAGGGTGTGGAGAGAGGATGCAGGCAGTGCGGGGGGGTGGGAATGACACCAAGGGGCAGAGGAGGGAGAGAGTGCTTCCAGCCAGGGCGGGGGAGGAGGCGCCCCGGAGGAGGTGATGTCCGAACAGGGGTTCCAGCTAGTGGAGGGGAGGAGAAGGCATTTCACATGGGTTGCGGTCTGTGAGGGACTTAACCAGGCTGCTGGTCCCTGAGCACCCCCTGCCTCTTCCCTAGTCCCGCCCACCATCGAGGGCGCTGGCGGAGGGCCCCGTGTGGTGAAGGCCGTGGCCGGGAGGCCCTTGGCGCTGGAGTGTGTGGCCAGAGGCCACCCACCCCCCACCCTCTCCTGGCACCACGAGGGGCTACCCGTGGCGGAGAGCAATGGGACGTGGCTGGAGGTGGGCGGCGGCATGCTGAGCCTGGAGAGCCTGGGGGAGGCGTCTGGAGGCCTGTACAGCTGCGTGGCCAGCAGCCCTGCCGGGGAGGCCGTGCTGCAGTACTCCGTGGAGGTGCAGGGTGAGCCCAGGCCTGCCCCACCCGAGTCACCTGGGCCGTGGACCCCTCCTCCCACGCCTAGCCTGCTTCTTCCATTTCACGGACACTTCACAGCCATTAACCCTGGATAAGGCAGGGAACAGGGAGACGGGACTCCTGAGCCCTGGGTCTGGTGGGAAGACATTGAATAAACAGACCGATCCTGTGGGGAGGCTGAACTTGGGCGGTCCTAGAAGGCCTTCTGGACAAGGGGCCGTTTATGGGAGTGCTTGAAGGGTGAGGGGAAGCTTGGGCCTGGCTCTGGCGGCACTGGGACTTGGGAGGGCTGTAGGCCGGGATTTCCTCAGCTCCAGACACCCAATGGTGGCCCCTGCCCACAGTGCCCCCACAGCTCCTGTTGGCTGAAGGCTTGGGCCCGGTGACCACCCTCGTAGGACAGCCCCTGGACCTTCCCTGCCAGGCCTCAGGCTCCCCAGTGCCCGCGATCCAGTGCGTATGGGGTGGTGGAGGCCAGAACTGGTGGGCTGGGGGACAGGCAGAGAGCATGCTTTGGAGGTGGGTGGGGACGGGAGATGCTTCCCCTCCCAGGAGCATGAAAGAGGCCATGGAGCCCGGGACGTGAGGACAGGAGAGAGATGCTGCCTGGCCTCTTGGCCTGTCCTGTTGCGCCTACCTTCTCTAGCCTCAGGCTGACCCGTTCCCCTCCCCACACACCTTAGCTGGCTGCAGAATGGCCGCCCAGCCGAGGAGCTGGCCGGGGTACAGCTGACCTCGCAGGGGACCACACTGCGCATCGACCACGTGGAGCTGGACCACGCGGGCCTCTTCGCCTGCCAGGCCACCAATGAAGCGGGCACTGCAGGGGCTGAAGTGGAGTTGTCTGTGCACGGTGAGGGCAGCCTGGCGTTCTGGGGCAATGACAGCCCGAGATGCTGGGGTGGGTGAAGCCAGCCTGACAGACCTGGGAAGGGCGTGGAGCTGGTCTTCTCTGGACAGCATTCCTGGTCTGGACTTGCCAGCTCCCCAAAGAGACACAGGTGTGAGAGGGTGGTCTCATCTGCTCACCACACTTGTCTACAGGCCTTTGATCCCCTCCCTAGCCTCCCGCCGACCCCAGCTCACTCTCTTTATGCTGACCACGCTGAATTTTATTCAACTGTTTAAATACGTTGGCTTTCTTGCCTCCAGTCCTGCAAATGCTGTTCCCTCTGCCTGGAACATTCTTCCTCTTTGCCTGATTAGCTCCTCCCTATCTTTCAGGTCTGTCCTAAAAAACACCCCTTCCTCCAGGAAGCCCTCCTTGATTCCACCATGGTTATAATCTGCACTGCCCAGCCTCTCATGGCCATAACCCCCCACCTACTGTATTGGGATTTCTCGTTTGGCTGTTCATCTCCACTGCCCAGCTTGGGAGCTCTGAGGGCAGCACAGAACTTTCTCTGCTGTGTCCCTGTGCATAGTGCAGTGTGGGACACAGAGTAGATGCTCAGTGCACATACGGATGGATAATGGATGGATGAATGATGGATGGATGGATGATGAATGGGAGAATTTGAAAGGGAAAGACTAGCTCTGCCGGCTCTCTGTCTGGTGCTCTTTACCCTAAGGCCAGGTATCTGGAGGGTTGAGTGGAGGGAAGCTAGAGGCCAGCCCTGCAAGGCCACTCCCTCCCTCTGCAGGCATTGAAGAGGTTTCTGGGTGCCCACTGCACCCCTCCTGACCCTGACTGTGCCTCCCTGCCTCTCCCTCTGCCCAGAGCTCCCATCGGTGGTCATAGTTGGGGGTGAGAACATCACAGCCCCTTTCCTGCAGCCTGTGACCCTCCAATGTGCAGGGACTGGGGTTCCTACCCCAAGCCTCCGCTGGTGGAAGGATGGTGTGGCCCTGGCAGCCTCGGGGGGGAACCTGCAGGTACGTGCAAGGGCCCCAGGGCTGGCAGGCCAACCTTGCACAGGGGGAGGGGCTGCTTTTTAGCGGCCCCAGGGAGCCCAAGCGGAGCTCTGGCAGCCTGGGGGCAGGACAAACAGAGTCCACTCATCCTAGAAATGTTCAGTGGACCTTGGGGTGCTGGGTCTGAAGAAGGAAGGGAGCCCTAAACCTAGTCGAGGTCCCCGGAGTTTGAGCTCCCAGAGGGAGAAAATGGGGGGAGGGGAGTATCCCCAAGACCAGAGGGATCCCCTGGAATCTGAATGTGTGGCTCAGAACTCCAGCCGGAACCAAGCTTGTGCCCCTGCCTCACTTCTCCTGCGCTGGGGTCAGCAACAGCCTGCCCACTTGCCATGTCCGTGTTGCTCTGACCCCAGGCCCCACCCGCATCCTGGCAGACACCTGCCTTTCCTCCTCTCCACCAGATCGAGAAGGTGGACCTGAGGGACGAAGGCATCTACACTTGTGCTGCCACTAACCTGGCTGGGGAGAGCAGGAGAGACGTGGCGCTCAAGGTGTTGGGTGAGGATGTGGGTGGAGGCGGAGCCTGGACCTGGGGTGGTGGGTGATTGAGGGCCCGCAGGGCTGCCGTGGGGGGTTGGGGACGGCTGAGGGTTCTGAAATTAATGTCACGTACTTAACTTTAGAAGTAGAAAATCATTTGCTCCGTGGTCGCTTTTGGTTGTTTTCTGCCCGATTTTCAGTGGACAGCCTTGTTCTCATTCATATTTATCTTTGCTTGTTCTCTTCATCTGGGGGCTCATTTAGGTCCTTGTGTATATGGGCAAATCCTTGCCCTTGTCACTCCTCTTGACTGTCTGGGGTCCACCTCCCCGGTGCGCCTGATGCTGGCTGTTCCCGGGGGGTCAGGCGCCAGGGTTGTCCTTGTTGCCCAGCCTGCCTTGGGAAGGCTGGGGAGGGGCACTGGGGAGGCTGAGATGAGCCACCCAGAGCCTGTACCCCCTCCAAGCCGGGGCTCTCTTCGTCTCCCCTAGTGCCCCCCAGTATCGAGCCGGGCCTGGTCAAAAAGGCAGTGCTGGAAAATGCCTCCGTAAACTTGGAGTGTCTGGCTTCAGGCGTACCCCCTCCTGGTAAGTAAGACCCCTCCTGTTGGCTGAAAGCCACCTCCAGCCAACCCCAGTTCCCATCCAAAGAGGCGGGGCAGTGCCACAGGCACCACTCTGGCTGTGGACAAAGCAGGATGAGATCAGCAGGCCTTCCCCTTCCCTCCCCAGCATTCCCCTCTTCCTTGTCAACAGCCATTTATGCAATGCCCATTACATGCCAGTCACTGCCAGGGCCCAGAGCCTTTGCACTGGTGTCTGAAACAAACCTGCCGGGTTTCTGCAGAGTTTGTGGCTTCACGGGGCCGCCCCGGGGCTGGCGGTGAGAAACAGGACCTGGAGGGCCTGGGCCTCTTCTCTAGACCAGCAGTTGAGCAAAGGTCTGAGAGCTACGGCTGGGTGTGGGTGCCCAGCAGACAGGATGGGCCCAGGAAGGGGGTCCCTTTCCTGTCCCCCATCTGAGCCAGCTCAACCCTGCTTTGCCTGGGGTGGTGAGCCCTGGAGGTATTTGCCCTCTGCCATGGGGAAACCCTCTTCTGGGCTGGACCCTGGCAGGAGGTAAGGAAGTTGAAGATACAATCGGTCGTTACTAATTTATTTATTATCTCTTTATTAACTTTATTTTTAAATTTATTTTTAAATTGAAGTATATTGGTTTACAATGTTGTGTTAATTTCTGCGGTACAGCAAAGTGATTCAGTTATACATATACATATATATATGTATATATATATATATATATATACATTCTTTTTAATATGCTTTTCCATTATGGTTTATCATAGGATATTGCATATAATTCTCTGTGTTATACAGTAGAACTTTGTTGTTTATCCATTCTACATATGATAGCTTATGTATGCTGACCCCAACCTCCCACTCCGTCCCTCCCCAACCCCCTTTCCCGTGGCAACCACCAGTCTGTTCTCTGTGTCCACGAGTCTGTTTTGTAGATAGGTTCATTTGTGTCATATTTTAGATTCCACATATAAGTGATATCATATGGTATTTGTCTTTCTCTTTCTTACCTCACTTAGTATGATAATCTCTGGTTCCACCCATGTTGCTGCAAATGGCATTCTTTTGTTCTTTTTTACGGCTGAGTAGTATTCCATTGTGTATATGCGCCCATCTTTATCCATTCCTCTGTCGATGGACGTTTACGTTGTTTCCATGTCTTGGCTATTGTGAATAGTGCTGCTGTGGACATGGGGGCGCATGTAGCTTTTTATAATTGGTCCATATTTATGAGGCTGCTGTTTTGGGGTATGCCGTGTTCTCCTCTAAAGATCTCCCTCATGGGTGGTCTCCTGGCAGGGGGAGGACGTGAGGGGCTGGGCTGACTTTGACTCTCCTTGCTCCTGGCTGCCCCAGCCTGCATCCCTCTCTGCCTTCGGTTCCATCTCAGACAATGCCGCCCTGTTCTGCCCCGCCCCCCTTCCTGGAGAACACTGGCTTTCTCCAGCGCCTGAAATAAAGGCACACCACGTGGCCACCCCGGAAGCCTCTCCTGGATGCCCATGACACAGGGCACAGTCTGAAGGGCTGGCAGGGACCCTTTCATCTCTCTTCTCTTCACCAGATATCTCCTGGTTCAAGGGCCACCAGCCTGTCTCTGCCCAGAAGGGAGTGATGGTGTCAGCTGATGGGAGAGTTCTCCTCATTGAGCGAGCCCAGTTTTCTGACGCTGGGAGCTACCGCTGTGTGGCATCCAATGTGGCAGGCAGCACAGAGCTGCAGTATGGCCTACGGGTCAATGGTGAGCTGCCCTGAGACTAAAGGGATCCTTGTCCCCAAAGTTGTCTTCCATCCATTTGTCCCTCAGTCTGTTCATCCATCTGTCGTCCATCCATCCATCCTTCCTTTCATTCATCTTTCCTTCCTTCCATCCATTGATAATTTACCCATCCATTCTTCTATCCATGCATGGAAACACTCAACTGTTCTTCCACTGATCCAACCACCCATCCAGTCCTCTGCCTATCCACCCATCCATCCATCTAACCATCCATTTATTCAAACACCAATTCCTCCATCTATTGAGTACAGGCGTACCTCAGAGACACTGCAGGTTCATTCAGTTCCAGGCCACCACAATAAAGCGAATATCAAAATAAAGCAAGTCACATGAACGTTTTGGTTCCCCCTTGCATAGAAAAGTTCTGTTTACACTATACTGTAGTAACTGTGCAGTAGCATTATGTCTAAAGAAAGTACAGACTTTAATTAAAAAGTATTTTATTGCTAAAAAATGCTAACCATCATCTGAGCCTTTGGTGAGTCGTAGTAGCAACCTCAAAGGTCACTATAACAAATAGAACAGTAAGGGAAAAGTTTGAAATATGGCGAGAATTACCAAAATGTGACGCAGAGACTAGAAGTGAGCCAATGCTGTTGGAAAAATAGCACCGATAGACTTGCGCAAGGCAGGGTTGCCACAAACCTTCCGTTTGTAAAAAACACAACATCTGCAAAGTGCAGTGAGGCGAAGCACAGTAAAACGAGATGTGCCTGTACGTGCTCTGGGCAGACCCTGGGGCTGCGGCCCTGAACAAGACGGACCCGGGAGCTTTCAGTCTAGTGGAGGATACAGTAACTGGATACTTACCCAAAGTACTGTTTCATGACGATTGTGATAAGAGCTAGGAAAAGTGAGGTACAACTGAATGCCTGGAACTGGGGCGCTGACCTGGCCTGGGGGGTCCCAGGAGGCATCTTGGAGAGCTGGATGCCTAAACGGAGACCATGTTCCAAATGCTAAGGCTATAGAGAGTTTGAGAAACTGAAAGGAGGCTGGGGGCTTGGAGCTTACAGAACAGTGAGAGGAGGGGCCAGGGTGGTGCTGGGGACCAGATGGAGGCTGGAAAGATTGGGTCTTTATCCTGACAGCAGTGGGTAGGGAGCTGGACAGGAGGCTGGGACCCTGGGTGTCATGGCTCATGCCTCCCAGATACAACTGACTCTTCTGACCATTTTCTGCCCACGAGGGGCTGTCTGGAGGCTGATACCTCTGAGTTGGAAAGCAAAACCTGCCCAGGGATTCTCAACCCTGGTTACCCCTACACCATCCCCCTGATAATGACCTCGTGCTGACCAGAAGGCCCAAGTTGAGGTGCTGCTTCTGCCAGTTCCTAGCTGGTCAGCCCTGGGCAGGTGACTTCCCTCTCTGAGCCTCAGTTTCCCATCTGTGGAAGCCTCGTGATGGAGTTGGAAGGGTGAGATGAGCAACCTCAAGGACTGTGGAGCGCTGCGCCCATGTTGGGAGTGGCTGTCCCTAAGCTTTTGTTTGTGGCCGTGTGCTCCCGTGTGGGTACCCAGCCAGGGGCCCTGCCTGCTTCACCCCCAGCGGGGCTCAGCCTGTGCCCTGTGCCGCCCTCACCCTGCAGTGCCTCCGCGCATCACTCTGCCACCCAGCCTGCCGGGCCCCGTGATGCTCCACAGCCCGGTTCGGCTGACCTGTAACGCCACGGGAGCCCCCAGCCCCATGCTGATGTGGCTGAAGGATGGAAACCCTGTGTCCACTGCAGGGACCTCTGGCCTCCAGGTCAGTAGGGGTGGGTGGCCCTGACTCGCCTGCCGGGTGCCTCAGTGGGTGCTGGGAGCAGAGGTCAGGGCCTGGGAGTGCTGCGGGGAGACGGAAACAGTGATGGCCCAGGATGGTCGACTGGAGGGAGGAAGGGGAGATGCTGAACGGAGTCTAGAGCCAGGTGGTCTCCAGAAACGTAATGCACACCACCCAGGTGAACCGAATATGTAATTTAAAATTTTCTAGTAGCTGCATTAGGAGGAATAAAAAGAAACAGGTGAAACCAATTTTAATAATGCATTTTAAGGAATTCCCTGGTGGTGCAGTGGTTAGGACTCCTTGCTTCCACTGCAGGGGGTACGGGTTCGATCCCTGGTCGGGGAACTAAGATCCCAAAAGCCTCACAGTGTGGCATACATAAATAGATGAAAGTGTCCTTCGGCTACTTTATTTATTTATAAATAAATTAAAAGTGAATATTAAAAAAAACCTGCTGTATAAAAAATACATTTTAGTTCACCCAGTATATCCAAAAAGTATCATTGCATCACGTGATCAGTATAAGAAATCATGAACCAGACATTTTTGTACAAGCTCTTTGAAATCAGTCGTGCATCTTACGCTTGGGGACCAGCCCTATCTCAAGGGCTCCCGAGCCATAGCCCCACTCCAGGGGACTGTTTCCCAGGACAGATGTTATTCCCCACCAGCCAGCAGAGGTCCTGGGGTCTGGGTAGAACTCGGGGTTCCTCTGCACTGTGGTGGGCCCCGGGGGTCTGGGACAAGCTGCCCGCTGTGCCTGCTAGCAGGGCCGGACCTCACGTGGACTTCCTTCTGGGCCACAGGTCTTCCCTGGGGGCCGGGTCCTCACGCTGGCCAGTGCCCGGGCTTCCGACTCCGGCAGCTACTCCTGCGTCGCCGTGAATGCGGTGGGCGAGGACCGCCGGGACATCATCCTGCACGTCCACGGTGAGTGTCAGGCCCTGGACTTTGCCGGGTGCAGGCCGGCGGCTCAAGAAGGTGGGGCTGGGGCATCCCCGGGGGTTGGATGTAGGAGGTCTGGCCTGGGACTGTGTCTGCCTTCATGTAGGGGTTAGTTGGACCCCCAGAGCCCTCTCCTAGTGTGTGAACTCCCCTGTTGTGGACAGGTGGGCGGGTGGGCCCTTTCCTCAGTGGTAACGTCTGGTACAACTAAAGTACAAAATCATATTCAGACTATTGACGTTGTTATAATGCACCATCCTCTTCAGGTTTGGGGGCCTCCTCTGAAGGTCATCAAGGGGAGGACGAGAGGGCTGCAGCTCAGGGGGTGGGCCCTCGTCCTAACGGTGACTTCCCATCCCTGGTGGTTGCTCCCGGCTGCTGAGACAGCCCCTGCCCCGCCCCCTCCCGCAGTGCCCCCAAGCATCCTTGGAGAAGAGCTGAATGTGTCCGTCGTGGCCAACGAGTCAGTGGCCCTGGAGTGCCAGAGCCACGCTGTGCCCCCTCCCGTGCTGAGCTGGCGGAAGGACGGCCGCCCCCTGGAGCCCCGGCCTGGCATCCGCCTCTCCGCAGACAAGGCCTTGCTGGAGGTGTGCGGCCTCCCAGGCCACCAAGGGGGCCCCCACTGTGAGCAGAGCTGAGCCCTGAACAGGGCGGGCTGAGGTGCCCCCGTGAGCATCAGTTCAGCTCACTGTGACCTGCAGGCCCCTCCAGTCCCAGGACCCATCAGAGCTGCTTCCAGCCGAACAGGGATGGAGAGCAAAGCCCCAGGACTGAGCCCTCAGTGGCGGGGCGGGGGGGCACTTTCCTCAGGACCCCCACGAGTTTTTCACTCCTTGTTCGAAAGCCTCCTTGCCTTTGGGCATTTAAGGCCCTTCATCTGACCCGGCAAGGCAGGGGTTAACTAGGGTCAGGGCCTCTGGAGTCACAGCCTGGATTTAAAGTTTAGCTCCACCTCTCCGGACTACTGCCCGGTTGGGTGGTCGTGTTCTGACCACCCTGGCCTCTGCTCTCTCACCTGTGAGCACCTGTTGCCTTTCTTCTGGGGTGGCTGGGAGAGTCCTAGAGAATGTCTGTGAGGCCCCACCTGCCCCAGAGCACAGCTCGTCCATGTCAGCTGCGGGAGGGACGTACCTCTCCAAGGCGCGGGGAGAACCCTCCACTCCAGCCTGTTCCTCTTCCTCCCACCCCTCTACATCTTGTGATGTGATCATCCCCCACTCTGAGCCCCTTTCTTTGGTTTCCTCTGCCTGGAATACCGCCCCCGCCTTCCCTTCATTCTGCAAAGCCACAGCCTAGCTCCCTCACCCCCCTAGGTCAGGATCTGACCCCTGAGGACAGGGTCCCCTCCGCCTCCTCCTTGGATCAGGACTGGGCTGTGGATGTGAAGTGGGGTGAGGCTGGCAGGGCCACCATTTGTGCCCGGTCCATGTCAGGCCACCAAGGCCCTGGCTTCCAGAAACTTCCCGGTACAAGAGGCGCAGCAGGTGCTACCACTGCTCCGTGGTTCCGGGTGGGAGGGGGGACTCAGCAACGTAAAGTGACATGCCCAAGGTCACACAGTCTGTCCGGGCGTAATCCCATCTGTGCCGCCCCCGCTGATGGGTTGTTTTTGCTCTCGGCCAGGTGGACAGAGCCGGGGTGGCGGACGCAGGCCGCTATACCTGCGAGGCGCGGAACCAGGCAGGCTGCTCGGAGAAACACTACAACCTAAATGTCTGGGGTGAGGTTCTCCTGGGCTGGGCTGGGGTCCCTCCCCCTGCCCCTGTGAGGGCTGGCTCTCAAGCGCTGGGGTTGGGGCTGCCTTGAGTGGGCTCTAGGATACAGCCCTCCTCCACCCCACCCTCTCTCCCACGGGGTCCCTTTCTTATCCCAGCCCACAACTTCCTGCCCACCTCACCTCCTCTGTTTCACTCAGTCCCTCCAGTGTTCCCCTCACCAGAGCCTCGCACCCTGACTGTGACCGAGGGGCACCCCGCCAGGCTGTCCTGCGAATGTTGGGGCGTCCCCTTCCCCAAGATCTCCTGGAGAAAGGACGGTAGGATGGCTGACCTCGCCCAGCCCTACCCTCATTGCCCCACCCAAGGAGGCTGCTCCCTGCCCTCGCTGGGTGCCCCCATTCTAGCTGAGTTGGAGGTGGGTGGGCTTACAGCCCCTAGGGGGTGTGGGTGCTGGTGACAGAAGGCCCTGCAGCCCCTCCTCAGCCAATGAGAGCTGGATTGATCCTCAGGCCTCACTTCAGATGTCTCTTCTTCCAGGAAGCCCTCCCTGACCTCCATCCCAGTCTAGGCCTCCTTGACGCCACCCCTGCATGTTAGCTCATCATATTACCCACCTTAGTCCTTCAATGTCTGCTCCTCCGTGAGCCCGTGAGCCCTGGGAGGCACTGTCTGGGAATTCAGCAGTGGCTAAGACAGTGCCCGGTACAAAACAGGTGCTCAATAAATATTTGGAATTCATATTTAACCAGTATTTGTTGAGAGCCTCTCGTACCAGGCCCCATTCTAGGTGCTGGACGTACGGCAGTGGATTGAGGCAGTCAGATAATAAATGAGAAGTTAGTATAGGCCTACCTCATTTTATTGTACTTTGCTTTACTGAGTTTCGCAGATGTCATGTTTTTTATAAATTGAAGGTTTATGGCAACCCTGCCTCCAGCAAGTCTATCGGTACCATTTCCCCAACATTTTCCAGCATTTGCTCACTTTGGGTCTCTGTCCCATTTTGATAATTCTCCCAATATTTATAACTTTTTCATTATTATAATTATGTTTGTTATGGTGGTCTGTGATGAGAGATCTTTGATATTACTATTGAAAAAAGATTATGGCTTGCTGAAGGCTCAGATGATGGTTGGCATTTTAAAGTATTTTACATTAGGTTATGTACGTCGTGTTTTTAAACCTAATAGTGCACACGTAATAGACTAAACATAGTTTTTATATGCCCTGGGAAACCAAAAGATCACGTGACCCGCTTTATTTCGATATACGCTTTTTGCATTTGTCTGGAACTGAACCTATGATATCTCCGAGGTATGCCTGTAAATGACTTAATACCTGACATGATAAGTGCTATGGAGAGAAATAAAAGCCAGGAAAGGGGAGAAGTCGTGAGGGGGGAGGGAGGTGGGATTTGCAATTTTAAGTTGGGTGGCCAGGGACATTTGACCAAGCAGATGTGGAGAAGGTGAGGGATGGGCATGAGGATATTGTAGGGAAAAGCATTCCAGGCAGAGGTGATGGCAGGTGCAAAGGCCCTGGGGCAGGGGTGAACCAAGCATGTTTGAAGAACAGCAAAGAGGCTGGTGGGGCTGGAGCAGATTCAGCAAGGGGACGGTACTAGGCGATGGTCACCTGTGCGATGGGGGTGGATCAAAGGCTGTAAGGATCTCAGGTTTTACCTTGAGTGACATGGGGCTTCTGGAGGGGTCTGGTTTGTGCTCTAGATGGTTCCTACCAGCATGATGAGAATAGAGCATTGGGAGCAAGGGTGGGAGCAGAATGGCCAGTGAGGGGGTTCCTGCAGGGACTCTGGGCAAGAGATGCTGGCACGTGGACTAGGTGGGTATCCATGAGGTGTTGGGAGGGGGCCGGAGTCTCGATGCATTTCAAAGGTGGTGCTGGCCGGATTTTCTGACGGCTGGGATAGGGGGCTAAGAAGAAGGAGGGGTCGGGGATGACTTCTGGCCTGGTAGTCAGGAGAGTGATTCTGCCATCACCCAGATGGAGAGGCTGCAAGGACAGGTCTGGGAAGAGAGGTCTGGACTAAGAATAAATCCCAAAGTGACAAGACAAGTCGAGATCACCAGGGGAGAGAGCGCGGACAGAGAATAGTATGTAAGAGCGAGGAAGGATGTCATGTGGCCACCTAGTCTCCTCCCACTGCGGGGACACATGCTGATGGATGGCCAGAGCCCAGAGGGCCGCTCTGCTGTGAACAGGTGCAGGATGTTGGAAGTTAGTGTTGAATCCAGTGCCCCTTGGTTTACAAAACCCTTCCCTGCATCGGGGTCCCCTTGCTGCCAGGCGTGCCAGCTGCTTGGTCTCCCTCCCCTATCTGTGTAGCTAGATGGATGGGTCATTCATTCGATAGCCTTCACTGAGCGCTATTATATGCCAGGCCCCAGAGAACCTCTAAGGATCCCAGGGGGAAAGTGAGGCAGGGTCTGCCGTCCAGGACAGCCCACGCCAGGGCAGGATTCGGACGTGCCACCTGCAGGCTTATCTGTGTTGGGGAGAGGCTCAGTGTTATGGGAGCTCAGAGTGGGTTCCGGGATCAGATTTGGTGCTCAGGGAAGGCTTCCTGGTGGAGGTGACATCTAAGTGGGCACCTGACGCATGAGCAGGAGCTGGCCAGGATGGATGGGAGGACAAGTGTTCGAGGTGGAAGGACCAAGGACCAGGGGCTTCTTTCTCATGCATCCAGGTCAGCCTCTGCCCATGGACGGGGCTGGCCTTGGGCAGGTGTCAGCTGTGGGGCGGCTGCTGTATCTAGCACAGGCCCAGCCGGCCCAGGAGGGAACGTACACCTGTGAGTGCAGCAACGTGGCCGGGAATAGCAGCCGGGACCAGCAACTGGAGGTGTTTGGTGAGTCAGGCTGGGACGACCTGAACCAGGCGGAAGGGGCCAGGTGGGGCCCAAAGGGCGGGCAGCCAGGTGCCCTGGCGGGGCAGACCTCACCCCAAAACCCAAGCAAAGACAAAACAGGGCTGATGAGAGCACTGTCCTGTTACCCCTTAGCTCTCTGGCCTTTCAACTGCCCCCTACCCCCAGCCAGCTTCTTACAGCTCCTGACCTCAGCGTGAGAGAGGGGGCAGCGTGATCCCAAGAAGCCCCCAATGGTCCAGAGGGGGAAAAAAACACAGCTTGGAGCAGTTGGAAACTAAAGAAATGTAAAATTGATATGAAGCTCCTATATGTGATGGAAACGTAAGTCTCCATCTACATGTCCTGCCGGGATGAAATGAAATATCTCAACCTTGTAAAAATCATTCTAGAAAATAAAACCAAAAAAATGCTGTTCAGCATCTTGGGGAGAACCCCACCTGTGGAATAATCCCTCACCCTCGGCTAGTCCTAAGAGCTGTTTAAGTTCCGGGAAGCCTCTGGTTTCTAAGGAAGAAAACCCCTCACAAATCTTCAGGGCTGTTCTGTGAGCTCGTTATCCGAACGGCGGGCCTTCCTGTGATTCACAGGGTGTGGGAGAGGGGGCCATGGGGGACTTTTCTGACCCCATTATACAGATGCAAAGTGGAGGCCCAGAGAGGCGAGGTCACCTGGCTGAGGTCACCTGGCTAAGGTCACACAGCCAGCAAGGGACATGGAAGAACACAGGCCAAATGGAGGCGAGCCCAGAGCCTGGCATGTGGCGCGTGTTTGGTGCCCGGCGGCCCACTTTCCCTGACGTGCTTTCTCCCCATGCCAGTTCCCCCTCAGATCACGGGCCCCCGGGAGCCCCACACACAGCTGTCTGTGGTCCAGGACGAGGAGGCCACTCTGGAATGCAACGCCACAGGGAAACCCCCGCCCAGGGTGACGTGGGAGCGGGACGGCGAGCCAGTGGGGGCCGAGCCTGGCCTGCGGCTGCAGAGCCAGGGTCAGAGGCTGCACGTGGAGCGGGCTCGGGCTGTCCACGCCGGGCGCTACAGCTGCATGGCTGAGAACGTGGCCGGGAGGGCCGAGAGGAGGTTTGCGCTCTCTGTGCTGGGTGAGGACCTGCGGCCTGCTGGAGGAGGGCAGGAAGGGGACCAGACTGGAGAAGGCAAGGCTGCTTCCGTCCCCAAGCTGTGCTCCTGGGGCCACCCCCTTGTTCTGCCAGGAGTCGGACCCCTCTGGGTAGGGCTCCTGTTGGAAGAAGCTGCAAGCACTGCTTTCAAAATCAGGATTGGTTCCAAATGGCCCTCATTTCCCTCCCTCCTGTCTCCCGTGTTTGCGGTTCCCCTCCTCTGTTCCGGGCATTCTTTATCCTGCATGACTCGTATGTGATGGGGGAATTCAGGGTCCCCGAGAGATCAGGAAGATCCTGACCACTGTCCTGGGAAGTCAGGGCAGCTTCCTGTAGGAGGTGACCTTTTTGCTGAAATGCAAAGGCTGGGTAGGTGTTCGTCGGGAGCCGGGGTGAGAGGAAGTGTGCCAGGCATAGGGAACAGACTCTGCAGAGGGCTGGGGCACGTTCACGGGGGCTAGAAGAGCCTTGTGCTTCCAATCTCTTACTGAGCTCCTACTGCATGCCTCAGGGTGGAGGCAGGGAGTGGAGAGAGACAAGGAGGGAGAGGTGGGCAGGGGTCCTTTAGGGAGGACCCTCTCATGTCTCCATCATTGCTGGGATCCCCAGCCTCGCCCACCTATCCCTGCCTGATAGGGTGTGGCTTCCTTTCTGAATGGAACTCTGCTCTGTGGATTTAGGGACCCATCTGGTGTTCCCCTTTGCTCTAACTCCCGTCTCATTTGCTCAGTCTTTGCTCCATGCCAGGCTCTGTGCTAAGCGCTCTACACACGTCCTTGTCGAATTCTCCTGGCGTTCCAACGAGGGGTCGGGGAAACTGGGGCCCAAGCCTGTTACCAAAGCCCAGCCCGTGGCCATCACTCACGCCCTTCAGTGGGAGCAGCTCTGATCTTGTCGCTTCTGCTCCTCAGGCTTCCCTGACTGGGGGGCGGGGGTCCTCGGCGAGGGCATTGGTGGGGAGACAAGCAGGAGCATACAGCCCCCGTCTGCATCCTGAATGTGGCTTCTTCTCCGTGTCTAGTGCCCCCAGAGCTCGTTGGAGACTTTGACCCACTGACCAATGTCACGGCTGTGTTGCACAGCCCCTTGACACTGCTCTGTCAAGCCACAGGCATCCCGCCTCCAGGGGTCCTCTGGTTCCGAGGGGAGGAACCCATCAGCCCTGGGCAGGACACCTACCTCTTGGCAGGTAAGGTGCCGGTCAGGGGAGTATCTGGTTATCGGGTCTGGCCCTCTACCTCTGTCCATCACATGCCTGTGACCTCTGATCCTGCACTGCCAGGCTTGGTTGGGATAACCGTTTTAGCGGTTGGGCCCCCGAGAGTGCACCCAAAAACACTGGTCAGGTGAGGTGCTCCAGGGAAAAAAAAAATCAGATTTAAATAAGTTTGGAAAAGGCTTCCTGTCTGCTCTCCTGGAGACTCACAGTGACCATCTGTATAGTCAAGGTTCTGATAAGTCCTGCGGAAAAAAATTCTCACGGCACCTATGAAACATAGCATGGAACGGTAACAAACTTTGGGAAATGCTGATCTAAGCACTTTCTCCTTTGAATATTCATCTTCCTCACAGAGTTGGTTTGTGATGGTTCTTGCTGGAATACAAATGGGGAAACTGAGGCCCAAGAGGCAATATCCCATCAGAATCTTTCAGGGACTTCCAGGCCCCCTGAAGCTCAGCCTCAATGACCCGTCAGTTGTTCCATGCAGCCAAAGCTGGGATGGTAAATAAGTTTCCCCTTGTGCACCACTTCTGAGCGCTTGGTGGGGGCCGCCAGATTCAGTGTGATGATATGAATTCAGAGACTGCATCTGGGCCCAGCAGAAAGGAGAGTGGTGATCAATTAGTGATGTCTGCCCTGGGTGCAAGAATAGCAGTGATGATGTGTATCTACCTTCCTTGGGCTGGTCTTAGGAGATCCTTGCATTCCTCTGAGAGGAGCTGGTTCACCTCTGAGAGGTCCTTGGGAGAAGGTGGCCTTTTACCAGGTCCATCAGAGTCGAATGAGGGTTCTGATCTGAGCCAGGACTACATAAACCATTGCTGTCCTTTTAGCCCCAGCCAACCCACAGAAGAGAGGGTAGCCAGGTGACAGATCCTTCTTACTAGAACAGGGTCCTCAAGTTTACCCTGGTGTAGATCTAATGTCCAGGGGGCTCCATCTATCTGTTTACCCTCCTGGGCCTCAGTTTACCCGTCTGAGGAATGGAACATTGTGGGAGGCAGACACCTCTACCTCTAAATATAATGCCTGGCATGCTCCTCTTCCTGGCGGGCAGCCTGGGCTCAGCTTGGGACAGAAGGCTGCTCATAGCTGTGCGTGGAGCCCACTCCCCCCCTCCCCAGGTGGTTGGATGCTGAAGATGACCCGGGCCCAGGAGCGAGACAGAGGCCTCTACTCGTGCCTGGCAAGCAACGAGGTTGGGGAGGTGCGGAGGAACTTCAGCGTGGAGGTCCTGGGTATGTCACCGCCCCATTCTCGTGGGCACCCACCAATCCTTTCCCTCAGGCCTGGGAGCTTCTGGAGGTGGGGTCTGGCACCGGCAGGAGGGAGAAGCCAAGCCTTGTTTTCTTTGCCTCATCAGCAACCTCTTCTCTGAGGCTGCCATAGAACTTTCCAGAAACAGCTGGAACTAACCCCAGATGAAAGGGGGAAAAGATTTTCAATACCACCCAACTGCCTTCCTCTGATCAGGGCCTTCTCCCAGAGGCACTGGTACTTCCCTCAGCCAGCTGCTGAGGGTTAGGGTTGGGGTTTATTAAACTCACAGCCCCATGGAGGCAGGCGTGAGGGGATGGGGAAATGGAAGAGAGGTACCATGGGCTCTTAGCTTCCTGCTCCGTGGTTGTTCAGCGTGGTCAGTTAGTGTCTGTCTTCCCTGCTTCTCCCAGTTCCTCCCAGTATCGAGAACGAGGACCTGGAGGAGGCAATCAAGGTTCCCGAGGGGCAGACGGCTCACCTGACGTGCAATGTCACGGGTAAGGGACACACGCAGTGAACTGGAAGAAGGGTGAGAGGCAGCTCTGAGAAGCAGGGGGACCCCGGAGATCTCGGCTGCCTGCCCCCAGCCCTACTGCTCCCCACAGAGGGTCTCTCACCATCTTGGCCTTTGCACTCTCTGTGCCTCTGCCCCAAACACTCTTCCCTACTCATCTGACTACAGAGCTCAGCTCCCAGGACCCTCCACAAGGAGTCCTTGGCCGACCCTCTGGGCCCATGGGCTCCTACAGGTCCCAGTACTCCCCTATCCCAGCACTGACCACACTGGACCATAGTGGCCTTGTGATACCTGTGTACCCCAGCCAAGCTCTGAGCTCCTTGAGGACCAAGGGCTGCCTTGTCACCATGGTTCCCCCAGTGCCCAGCAGAGTAGGCTCCCATTAATGCTTGTGGGCTGGGAGAGATGGATGCATGGATGGGTGGGTGGATGGATGGAAGGGATAACTTGCCTTTCTGTCCTGCCTGTCTGTACCAAGCCATTCCTGCCCACAACCTGGGTAAGGAAAAGGCAATCAAACCACATAGGAAAGGGCCCAGGCCAGGCCTGGTGGCTGCTTCTGTGTCTTGCCCTGTTACATGGGCCTCTGGACTAAGGTGGAGAATGGATGTCCCCTAACCCATCTTGGAGCAGCCTCTGACCTCTTGTTTGAAGCATTTCACTTGCCTCTCCCCTCTGCATACAGGCCACCCACAGCCCAAGGTCACATGGTTCAAAGATGGCAGGCCCCTGGCTGGCGGAGATGCCCACCGCATCTCTCCAGATGGAGCCCTCCTGCAGGTCCCCCAGGCCAACCTGTCTAGTGCAGGCCACTACTCCTGTATTGCGGCCAATGCCATAGGAGAGAAGACCAAACATTTCCAGCTTAGCGTCCTGGGTAAGTGCTAAGCATCTTCTGGCCGCCATCGGTGCCGGCAGGCTGGTACCAAGGTGACCAGCTCCTTACAGACAGCTTCCCACAAAGCACTTTACCATTTTTTCTTCCACGTCAACAACAACAACAATAATAATAACAGCCCTATAGGCTGAACCTCTACCATGGGCCAGGCATTTGGACAGGCCTGATTAGCTGAATCTTTTCAACAACCCTAGGAGGTGGGAGATGTGCTTGTCCCCATGTCAACAATGAAGCCCTGAGGCTTAGAGAGGTGACAAGACTCCAGGCCCCAGGGTCGGGGCTCACACCCAGGCAGGCAGTCTCCCAAGGGCCGTCAGCGGGAACTGTCTCGTTAGGAGAAACAGGGGTCTAGAAGTTGAGAGGAGCACAGATCTGTTTCTTAAAATGCTGTTGGTAAAAGGGAGGGTCCCCAGCGAGAGCTGAAAGAGAAAATGTGGAGACCAATGAAAGCAGAGCTATTCTACCCAGCAGGGAGTAAAACTCCATCCCCACCTCTGCTCAGAGAGTGGTAACAATTGGAACCACAAACAGAATTGAGAAGGCTCTGGTTAAATGAGCAGATTCTGGATGTTAAGAGACTATTGGGGAAACTGAGGCACAACTGACCAGGTTCCCCTATGGTGTTGCTTAGTGATGGGGAGCCTGGGCTCTGGGTCACCCAGGCCTGAATTCAAGCGTGGCCACACAGTGCGTGGCTCCTCTGAGCCTCAGTTTCCCCTCTGTGCGATGCAAGTAGCAAAAGCCAAGCACCAGGGTCTGAGGCTCTTCTGGGTCCTTGGGCCCAGGGTGGGGGATCTCCATTCACGAGCACACTCCCTGCCCCACCGCAGTGGTTCCCACCATCCTGGGAGTGAGCGAGGACGGTGCTGACGAGGAGGTGACCGTGACCATCAACAACCCCGTCTCCCTGATCTGCGAGGCGCTGGCCTTTCCCTCCCCCACCATCACCTGGATGAAGGATGGGGCCCCGTTTGAGGGCTTGAACAACGTCCAGCTGCTCCCAGGTGATGCCCTCGGGGTGGAGAGGAGGGAGACAGGGGGCAGGTGACGCGTCATCGGGCTGGGTCAGAGGAAGGGAGCCTAAGTGAATGCCTGGGGGTGGCCCGCTGCCCCCCGCCCCCCAAGCAGGCACCCACGGGCTGCAGATCCTGAATGCCCAGAAGGAAGACGCGGGCCAGTACACCTGCGTGGTCACCAATGAGCTTGGCGAGGCCATGAAGAACTACCACGTGGAAGTCCTCAGTGAGTCAGGGACCCTCCAGGGCACCAGTCGGGTGCCCTCTGATGGTCACTGGCCAGCCAGGGCCGGCTCAGTCATTTTAGGGCCGAGGACCTAGGAGGAGGGAACAAGTGAGCTAGGACTTGGGCCACGTGGACGCCCAGAGCCACACCAGTCCTGGCTTCCTTCTGCCACTCACACTGTGGTACAACCAGAGACCCCACAACTTGAGACCTGGTACCCCCAAGAGAGCTCCCAGAGGTCACCCCAGGAATCCCCCCACCTCAGACCTGACCTGTCCCGTAACCATCTCTCCCCAGGAGCGGGTGGGTTTCCAGAGTCCCTCCACTCTCAGAGAGCCAACACCCCGTTTCTGGGACAGACCCGGGGCCAGGGGGAGCGCAGGGTCTCAGCACCTCTTCTGCGGGCCTGCTCCTCAGACTGCTTTGTGGTTTTCAGTTCCCCCTTCCATCTCCAAAGATGACCCCTCCGGGGAGGTCGTCGTGAAGGAAGTGAAGTCCAAGGTCAATAGTACCTTGACCCTGGAGTGCGAGTGCTGGGCCACGCCCCCACCCACCATCAGCTGGTACAAAGACGGACGGGTGAGCCCGGGACACCCTGGCGGCCTCAGGCTCTCAGTCTGGTCCCCCTCGTCTGCTTGGAAGCTTCCAGAAAAGGCAGTCAAGGCATCAGGCCCCAGAGCTGGCCTGGGCCCCACCCCACCCTTTGTATTTTAATAAGAAATTCAACTCTTTATAGGAAACAAGTCTCACGAACATTAAACCCTCACTGAATTCTCTTCTAATTTTTAAGTTGTATGGATTTGGTGTTACAAAATTGCCGGGGTGGTCTTATCACTTTATGTTGTGTTCCAAAAATTGTGTGAAAATAGAAGTACACTCGTCTGGGGGCTTTCTGCCCCTCATTTCTGATGTCTGTTTCCCCTCTTTCCACCCTCAGCCCGTGACCCCCAACCAGCGTGTCCACATCCTTGGTGAAGGACAGCTACTCCAGATCCAGCCCACGGAGGTCTCGGATTCTGGGCGATACGTGTGCATGGCCACCAATGTGGTTGGCGAGGATGACCAGGACTTCAACGTGCTCATCCAGGGTGTGTAGGGCCACAGGGAGGGGTGGGGCGTGGGCCAGTAGGACTGCGAGGCCGCATGGCTGGGGGTGGGGAGTGTCAGTGCTTCTGGGGTGGCCTGGTGGGAGGGCTCTGTTCTTATCGCTGTCTGTATGTGTGGCCCCCAAGCCCCTGGCCTGGGCTCTTTCATGAACTGACCTTGTGACAAGGACATTGTTGCCCCCCCAGGCCTTGGTTTTACCTTTGTAAAATGTGGGTGATCAAATCAGGTGACCTTGAGGGCTCCCCCAGTTCAAAAAGCCAGTGATGAGGGGCCTCTGTGCTCCAAGGCATACACTCTGGCTAACGCTTAGAATCTGGCATTCTCCTCTGAGAAATACCAGCGTGTCACAAGACTGAGTCCACTAGACACGAGCTCCAGAGAGAGGAAACTTATCCTAGTGCCCAGCATAGTAGTTGCTCAGTAAACACTGGTTGAAGCAGTGAGTGAATTTAAAAACTGCCTTGGGGCTTCCCTGGTGGCACAGTGGTTGAGAGTCCGCCTGCCGATGCAGGGGACACGGGTTCGTGCCCCGGTCCAGGAAGATCCCACTTGCCGCGGAGCGGCTGGGCCCGTGAGCCATGGCCGCTGAGGCTGCGCGTCCGGAGCCTGTGCTCCGCAACGGGAGAGGCCACAACAGTGAGAGGCCCGCGTACCGCAAAACAAACAAACAAACAAAACAAACAAACAAACAAATAAAAACTGCCTTGACTGAAGGATTTGGCTCAAACGGTGGAATTTCTGTGCCTGGGGAGGGGCTGGGACGGGAATCTCTTTGAGCGGTTCATCCCCGTCCCTCAGCTGTGGGTCCTAATGGCTTTGTCCCCCACTCCCTAGTACCCCCCATGTTCCAGAAGGTGGGAGATGCCGGTGCAGCCTTTGAGACCCTGTCCCGAGAGGAAGAGGCCCGGGGTGGGGTGACGGAATACCGGGAGATCGTGGAGAACAACCCCGCCTACCTGTACTGTGACACCAACGCGGTCCCACCCCCGGAGCTCACCTGGTACAGGGAAGACCAGCCCCTCTCGGCCACAGATGGGGTGTCTGTTCTGCAAGGTAGGCCAGGGCTGCAGAGAGAAGCAGGGCATTTGCAGGCAGGCACCAGGGTCACACCCACATCAGAGCCGGTCTCCTCTGCCTTTCTGTAAGTCCTTGAGCTCTCCTGTGTGCTGCTTGCTGTGTGACCCCGGGCAGGGCACGTGACCACTCTGGACCTTAGCTGCCTTTTGTAAACCGGGGCTAGAAGTTCTTTACCAGTTTGAAGGCTAGAATGGGGTCCCTTTCTGCCTCTGGTTTTTAGAACAGAGGTTCTCATCTCGGCCGTGCCCACCTCTGGGCTTCAACATCTGTAATGTCCTGGCCCCTTTCTCTGGAGGTGTGGCCGGTTCCTTTATTAAGACCTTGTGACCCCAAATACTGAAGAATCTCTCCCTGGGCTCTGATGACCACCCAGAGTCCAAGCTCATGGCTTATGTGACCTTTTAAATTTCTTCTTACAACTTTAAATATTTCTTTAAGGTTATTTAGTTTTTGTAAACAACTGCTTTATTTCAGAATAGTTTTTTGTGGATGACTTTGAATTAAAAGGCTCCGGGGATGGGACTTAGAAATGCCTGGCTTCCCTAGGGTGGCCCACAACTGGGAGGTATTCGAGACACAGAGCCCGGATGGGGTCCTGCCGGGTCCTGCCGTGTCCTGCCAGGTCCTGCCTGGTCCTGCCAGGCTTGGGCCAGTTGTGGCGCTGTCCAGCAGAGGGGGATGATGTGGGCTGCAGGATGAACAGGGTCATTCCAGGGTTTGTACTTTGGTACTTGCAGAAGAAGTTTGCCCCTTGGAGATCTGGGAGAGGCAATGCTTACGGAAAGCTCGATTAACCTTTAACCTGGCACTGCCCTCTGACCTAGGGATGCAGTGAGCTCAGTCACATGCTGATTGGCCTCTGACCCTGGCCACTGACCCCTAATCCTGGGTACACAGTGGTCACAGTCACAGCTGACTTTAATTCTGGCCCTGATCACAGATTAACCTCATGTATCGAGTGACCCCTCCCCCAGCCGTGGCCACTGCCTCCCCAAATCCCGGGTACTGTCTCCTGGCTCTGCACATAGTGAGCCCCTGGTTCTAACCCTGCTCACAGCCCACCACATCCTGGGTCAGAGATCCCCCAACCCAGAGTCCTGAGCACACAGCAACCCTAGCCCAGCTTCCACTAGAGACCAGCTCCAGGCCCACAGATGCCAGGCTCTGGCCCTGGCTGGCTCTTGTGCACAGAGGGTCCCAGGTGCTGCACCCCAACTGCCCCCACGCCCAACCACTGCCGCCTCCTGAGAGCCTCTGCCGACATGTGCCAAGCTCTCTGCCCTTCCCTCTGCCTTCGGTGAGGAGCTGGGCTCAGCACTGCCGGGCACTCTTTTCTGGGAGCCTCAGTTTTTCCATCTGTAAGATGGGAGTAGTAACAGCACACGGAGTCAGAGGCCAGGGAAATGCTCGGCCCAGGGCCTGGCACAGAGTACGCTGCCACTGCGCTTTATTTGATCCCCTTGACCCGTGACCTGAGCAGAGCAGGCGATTCTCTGCGTTTCACAGATGAGGTGGGGGAGCGGGAGTGGCCGGTGGGGAAGTGATGTGTCCCAGGTCCCCTCCAGGGGGAAGAGCGGGTTTCCTCGCCCTGGCTCAGGCCTCTGTCCCCACATCCCCGCAGGAGGCCGGGTCCTGCAGATCCCCCTGGTGCGTGCGGAAGATGCCGGGAGGTACTCTTGCAAGGCCTCCAATGAGGTGGGCGCGGACTGGCTGCACTACCAGCTGCTGGTGCTGAGTGAGTGGCCCGGCCTGGGGGCGGGCGGGCGCGGCGTGGGCTCATGGCTACAGGTCCCATGAGGGGCCCCCTCCCAAAGGGGGTCCAAGTAGAGAGCATGTTCAGTCCTACTGTACTCAGAGGTTGGTACGGTAGGGGTTACGAGCTTGGGCTCTGAAACCAGACAGGACTGGATTCAAATTGCAAGTGAGCTGCTTCCTAGCTGTGTGACCTTGAGCAAATCACAGCCCTCTCTGTGCCCGATTCCTTAGCTGCGGCAGGGCCTGGGAGCGCTTGGTGGGCAGGGTTCAAGGAGCCCCAGCCAGTGCCCGGCACCAAGCAGTGTTCTTGCCTCGACGCCCGCCCCCCCAGGGACCTTTCCCAGGGAGGCTGCCCGCTCTTCACCCTCTTCTCTCCCCCACCCAGCCCCACCTGTGATCCCGGGTGCCACAGAGGAGCTGGTGGAGGAGGTGACTGTCAACGCCAGCAGCACCGTCAGCCTACAGTGCCCGGCCCTGGGCAACCCTGTGCCCACCATCTCGTGGCTCCAGAACGGGCTGCCTTTCTCCCCAAGCCCGTGGCTGCAGGTCCTGGAGGACGGGCAAGTGTTGCAGGTCAGGGCGACCCCCGGCTTGGGCTGAAGGCAGCGGCTGCTGTGACGCAGCGCTGCTTGTCTGAGGACCGATGAGCTGACCCCTCTCTGGGCCAAATGAGGCTCTTTGCCTGCAACCACGTTGGAGCCCCTGGGATTTAATTCAGCCCACCAGATAATCGTATGTGAGCAGCCTTGCTGGGCTACGCATGGCACCTGAAAAGGACGCACAGGCGTGCCACACTTGGAGCCCAGCACGGCACAGGGCAGCCGTCCTCGGGAGTGCCATTGGACGCTTACAGAGCTGTGCCCAGCACCTAGGACCTCGGGCAGCTCCTCGGCCACCCAGTGTCCAGACACAGCCCCACGGCACCCCTGGAGTCCAACACAGCACACAGCACCCTCCTCGGGGCTGGGGGAGGGGACTGTTGTCACCATCTAGTTTGCTACGGGGACTCATCCGTCAGCTTCGCATGCCCCCAGGTGTCACAGAAAGCCCTAGATGGCTGTGGGGTGAGCCCCTAAGCATTGCTCCATGTAGGCAAAGGTGGTCTTCCTGGTCCCTGCCGTGCCTGGAATGGGTGGGAGGAACCCTCACACTAGTTCCCGGTGGGACCCAGAGCCATCCGGCCGGTGGCATGCGCCCACAGGTGTCCACGGCAGAGGTGGCTGACGCTGCCAGCTACATGTGTGTGGCCGAGAACCCGGCGGGCTCCGCGGAGAAGCTCTTCACCCTCAGGGTGCAAGGTGAGCTGGGCTGAGCAGGAAACCCCCTGGGTTCCCCAGCTGAGGAGGGGCTGGTGCTCTGGGTCTGTCCCACGTGCTCCGAGGACTCACCGTGCGGGCAGACACAGCGCCTCGGTCCTTCCAGTGTCCTGGGCTCTGGGCCAGTGCCAGCCGTACCCCAGGAGCGCATGTGGGGGACCCTGATCGCTAGATAATTGTAAGCAGCTTCGGGGGCTGCCAGAAGAATGGATCTTCTGAGGCCTTACAGCACCATGATTGCGCATTTGCTGTGTACCTGGCGTGGGGCTGAGTACTTTCCCCGGACTCGTAGCTGAGAGGTTAGCCCAATTTTAGGGCTGTGGAAACAGACTCAGAGATGTCATCCAGTGGGAGTCTCCCCGCCCTGGAGTCGGTCGGCCCTCCCCACCTCTGCATTCTTGTGACACATATACGTCTCAGTGGCCATGAACTCTGCCTCCAGATGTGGGGCAGCTGTGGCCTCGGGGCGGAGGGATGATGGTATTACTCAAGGTCTAGGACCCAAACCTGAACTGATAGTCTGGCTCTGCCACTGAGCAGCTGAGTGACGTTGGAAAAGTGACTCTCCCTCTCTGATCTCTAAGCCCCCGTGTTCGCATCTGTAAGATGGTTATGACAGATAGGAGCTGCTGCACAGTGAGGTTTGAAGCTCCAGGAGCTAGTGAAGGCCCTGTGTCTCACTCTGTGGCCGTCCGCTCCCTGCCGGTATGCGTCGTCATGTGTCTTTCTTTATCCTGGTGGCCGCGGGGACAGTCCCACCACGAATCGCGGGTCTGAACTCGGAGCAGGTCACCGCCATCCTCAACAGCAGCGTCTCCTTCCCATGCGAGGTCCACGCTCACCCGAGCCCTGAAGTCACGTGGTACAAGGACAGCCGGGCCCTCTCCATGGGAGAAGAAGTCTTCCTCCTGCCTGGTGAGTAAACTGAGGCTGGGGACCCAGCTCTGAGGCTCTGTGGGAAAGCAGAGCTGCCTCCCCAAACCTGGGACGGGACTGGATGTTGGGGAGGGCTTTAGGGCTGTGGGCGTGGGGGCTGGGGGCTGGGGCCTGTTCACTGGTACCAGGGGCATCTCCCCCACCCTGGCAGGCACCCACACACTGCAGCTGGCTCGGACACAGCCGTCGGACTCTGGAATGTACATGTGTGAGGCCCTCAATGCCGCCGGCCGGGACCAAAAGCTGGTGCAGCTTAGCGTGCTGGGTATGTCCTGTCTGTCCCCCCACCGGCACTGTCCCCCACTCCTTCAATCAGCCCTCACACCCTCAGACAGCACAGCTCCCTGGGGGAGCCTGGGATGCCCTGTGCCCTCTGCTGCAGTGGTTTCAGGGGGGCATGGTGGTTAAGATCCTAATTTTTAGCGTTTGGACATGCTTGGGTTTGAAACTCAGCTGTCCACTTATTTGCTCTGTGACCTTGGGCAAGTCACTTCCCCTCCCTGAGCCTTGGGTCTCTCAGCTGTAAGGTGATGGTTGGTATAAGGGTAAGATGATGGTATGTGAGCCCTTAGCCCAGTGCCTGGTGCCCCGTGAGCTGTGAAGCTGAGGAGGGGGCAGCAGGATAACAGCCAGAGCTGGCCCAGGAAGGGCCCTTCCCAAGCCTGATGGATCACGAAGTTCTCTGCGTGGAACCTTCTGGGGGGCTTCTGGTCTTCTGAATCCTCTTGGGGAAAAGCTGGCCCAAGATGTCATGAGCCAGCACTCCCTGGAGGGTTCTTTCAAGCCCTGGGGCAGGTTCATTCATTTGTGCCTGTTCACCTACTGTGCGCCCGGCACCGTGCCAGGTCTTGTGGGCTCACAGCTGGGGTGGGAGCTTCTGCACTGGTTTGCTGGAGGGACATGGGCCTGTGGACCCGCATGGAGGGCCCTAACCTAGCTGGGGCCTGCCCTGCGTAGGAAAGAGCCTAGGAGGGTTGTCATAGCATCTCCCCCGACTGGGAGGCTGAACCCAGAGAGGGCAAGAGGCTTTTCCCAGGTCACCCAGCGGGCCCTTGGCATGCTGGCCTGGCTTCTCTTCTTCCAGCTCCCTGGGTCTGTGCCATCCCCTGCGGCGGGGTCCACTGCGTGACCTTGTCTCTCCATAGGCTGTTAGCCTGCGGCTGGGGCCAGGGAGGACACGGGGAAGGCCGCGCCCCTCACTCAGCTCATCTCCTTCCCCAGTTCCCCCAACCTTCAGGCAGGCTTCCAGTGGCCCCCAGGGTGTGGTCCTGGTGAAGGCGGGGGACAAGGCCGTCCTGAGCTGCGAGGCAGACTCACTTCCCGAGCCAACCGTGACCTGGCACAAGGACGGGCAGCCCCTGGCCCTGGCACAGAGGACCCAAGCTCTGCTGGGTGGGCAGAGGCTGGAGATCCAGGACACCCAGGTGAGATGTCTGGTGGTGCGGGCAGCCGCGGGAAGCCCTGGGAATGTCACCTCCTGGTCCTGGGGAGCTGAGGGTGGGCATGGGGGGCAGCTGGGTGGCAAGATGGGGGGGGGCTGCTGCCTCCTTGGCCTGCAGGATCCCAATCCAAGATGATGAGCAGCGTCCGGGGTGGGAGACGTGGGAAGAGCACGGGGCCCCAGATCCGGCTCCACACTGACTCACAGAATCACTTGGAGCAGATCCGCCTGCCTGTTGCCCCAGAATCCAGAAGCCTTTGCAGGCCCCTCGGGTTGTGACTCCCCGGGAGTCTGTTCCACCTGCCCACGCCCCTCCCTGGGATGGATTAGACACTCACGAGTGTTCTCTGGATGAACATTTGCTGCTCCTCTCGAACTGCACCTGGGTTCCGTCTCCTGACTCAGCGCCATCCCCACAGTGAGGGAACCTTCTCCTCCAGGCTCCACAGACAGACATGCAGCCCCAGGGAAGGGTGGGGTCTGCATGCTGTGCACTCACCTTCCATCGGCCCTCCTGCATCTTAAGGCTCTTGGGAAAGGCCAGAGGGTCCCCTCTCCCCTTTGGCTTCCCAGGCAGGACCGGCATATTTGGGGAGTCCCTGCTGTGGAAGGTTCTGGGACCTGGATGTTTTGGGGGAGCCGTAGGTATCCCCACTGCAGCCGCACACTGTCTTCATGTGCTCTCTCCGTCCCAGGTGTCGGATAAAGGTTTATACAGCTGTAGAGTCAACAATACAGCCGGGGAGGCCGTGCGGACCTTCACCCTCACGGTCCAGGGTAAGCCGGGCACCAGGCTGCCAGCGTCGCTGCGGTACCCCTAGCAGCACAGGGAGTTGCCAAGGATGGGAAGGGCCATAGCTGGAAAGGGAAGGTGTGGCTGAGTGTTTAGGGCACAAGATCTGGAATTGAAAAGACCAGGATCCGAATAGGACTCTGCCAATGACTTGCTCTGTGGGACTCAGTAGAGTGACTTTACCCCTTTGAACCTCAGCTTTATCTTCAGTAAAAGGAGCTAAAAGTAGTACCTGCCTGTGTGGCACCCAGGAAGTGCTCCATCTGTGGTCTGCCATGACTGTGTCTAGAAAGTGCTGGGCCGGGGGCCCGGCGTGGAAGCACTGGGACAGGAGCCCTAAGAGATCAGACCCTCGGAGTGCAGGGGCCATGTCACCCCCGCCTGAGCCCTGAGGTGCCTGCCCCAGCAGCCCAAGAATGGAACATAGATGGCATTTCATTGGGTGTAGCTCACACTGGGGATGAGGGAGAGCCTTTTGGAGCTGCCTAGGGAAGCAAGGGATGAAGGCTTGGCCAGATTTTCTCAGGATCAGCTATTGTGTCGGTTAGGGAATAGACTCAGCTGGGTAACAAAAAAGACCCCAAAATACAGTGCATCAAGTAAGAGAGACGTTTACCTCTGTCATCCAAAAGCCCAGAGGTGAGTGTCTAGGCTGGAGGGTAGATCTGTACCTACCAAGTGGTAATTTAGGGACCAGGATCCTTCCATCCTGTTGATCTCCCATCCCCTGGGGGTTGTCCCTGTCCATGTCGCATCCTGTCCCAGCCCACAAAGCAGAAATGAGCAGACGTAGAGGGCAGGCATTTTTATTTTAAGTGGGTGATGCAGAAGTTGCATCTGTCCCCTGTGCTTGTATCCCATGAGTGAGAACTTTGACAGCTGGCCACAGCAGGCTGCAGGGGAGACTGGGAAATGTAGTTTCTACCTGAGTGACCCCGTGCAAGATGGGATGGACAGCTTGTGGGGACACCAGCTGTCTGCTGCACATGCCAAACCCTGTAGCCTCTCCAAAAGGGGGACAGTGGATGGGTTCAACCCTGAGCCATATTGAGTACCAGTGTTGAAAATTATTGACACCAGGTCTGCTGCTCAAAGCTCATAGCTTCTTCTCCTGGTGGCCACCTTAATGAACAGTGGGAAGAGAGGAATGTCTGGTCCTTGAGGGAGAAGATGTTTCATCCTGAGCACAGCTATCTCTTTTCCACTGGTAGTGGCTACCTGGGATGCATGACTTCATCCTGGCTGAGCAGGGGAGAGTGTTGGGATCAATTAGTGATGTCTGCCCTGGCATAGTCTAAGGTCTGCTGGTGCAATAGCCATGAAATTTACCATCCTTGGGCTAAGTGGTCCCCGCCTGGGCTCTGCTTTGTAAATGTTTTGAAATAGCCAGCTGCTGGTTGTATTTACGTTTGCGAATAAAACAACTCATATCATCATCAATGGCAAGGCATAAAATGTCAACTCCTAACCACAGGGAAGGGCTTCTCGGGCATCCCTGATCTGCCTGAGAGGAAGGAAGCAGGAGGCAGGGTCTTAGGATTCTGGGAATCTGGCTTCTATCTTGCAGTGCCCCCAACGTTTGAGAACCCCAAGACGGAGACTGTGAGTCAGGTGGCTGGAAGCCCCCTGGTCCTGAGCTGCGACGTGACTGCAGTCCCTGCACCTAGCGTTACTTGGCTGAAAGACAGAATGCCTGTTGGTGAGTGCATTAGTCCTTATCTTGTTGGCGCCAAGTAGTCCTTTATTTAATGAAATGGCAGTGAAAACAGAAGGGGTGGTTGGTTGTTAACGGTTCTTACTTGGCAAAATCAAAAGCTGGTGGTGCCCTGTTGGTCCCATCCCCCCCGATTCGTCTTTCAACCCTGTTGGCCTTGAAATCCCAACACTGAGAACCATCTGAGTGGGGGCTCAGTGGCTTCTTGTGTTTGTGTCCATAGTCAGCTCCCACGGGACAGAAATGCAGAGTGGGTGCTGAGGGTCTAGCTGGCCCGACCCTGGGCCTGGCATTGGCCCCGAAGCTGCTCCTTCTCCAGTAACTCAGCTCCATTCGGCCCAGCTGTCGGTCACCCCATCCAGGCCTTCAACCTTGCCCTGCTCTCTTCCTCTCCCCCGACCCACCCACGCATCGGTCAGTAGACACCTCGTCTTGTCAACATAAATGCCTCTGGTGCCAGCACTGCTCTCCATCCATAGCCTTTCCCGTTCCAGCCACCACTGTCCACACCCCTGGGTGAGGGCAGCAGCCCCTACACTGGTCTCTCGGGTCTCCTCCATGCCTCCAATGCAGGCTCCACCGGGGCAGAAGGGATCACAAAGTGCAGCTCTGAGTGGGTCAGTTGTCTGTTGAAACTGAAAATCCTTTTGTGCCTGGAGTCCTCAGAACCACAGCCCAGGAGGCCCTTCGGGGCTGGGGCCGGCCCCCCTCTCCCTGCCCTGCTGCGTGCTCCGGACAGACCCAGCTGCTCTTGACTCCTTGCATATGCCTATGTCTGTCTGTCTGTCTCTGTCTTTCTCTCTCTCAATAACAGCCTTATTGAGATGTAATTCACATACTCTACAATTTACTCAATGAAAGCATCTAAATCAATCCTTTTTTGTGTGATCACAGACCATCCCCACAATCAACTTTGGAACATTTTTTTTCCAACTGTATATTTTCTTTTTTAAAAAATTGAAGTATAGTTGATTTACAATGTTGTGTAATTTCTGCTGTATAGCCAAGTGATTCAGCTTTACATATATTCGTTCTTTTTATATTCTTTTCCGTATGGTTTATCATAGGATATTGAATATAGTTCACTGTGCTATACAGTAGAACCTTGTTGTTTATAATTTTGGAACATCTTTATCACCCCAAGGGAAATCCCTTACCCATCACCTTCACTCCCAGCCGCCCCGGCCCTAGGCAGCCACTAACCTACTTTCTGTCTCTATAGACTTGCCCGTTCTGGACAATTCATATAACACGTGGAATCATACAACACGTGACCTCTTGTGACTGGCTCCTTCCACTTAGCATCGTGTCTTCAAGGTTCATCCGTGTTGTAGTATGTGTCAGTTCTTCATTCCTTTTTTAAGTTAATTTTTTTCTTTCTTTTTTGTGGCTGAGTGTTCCACTGTGTAGATATATCATGTTCTGTTTATCCGTCCACCAGCTGATGGACATTTGTGTTGTTTCCACCTTTTGGCTATGGTGGATAGGGTGCTGTGAACGTTTGTGTACAAGTGTTTGTGTGGCGTTTGCTGTCCTTCCTCTTTGATATATAACTGGGAGTGGAATTGCTGTGGACCCTGTTCTCTCTCGGCTCCAGCTCTTGGCACGCGCTGTTTCCTCCCTGAAATGCTCATCCCAGGCTCCCCGGACCACCTCCACTTTCACCTGGCTGATTCAGACTCACGTTCAGGTCTCAGCTGAGACTCACCTCCTCCAGAAGCCTGGCCTGGTCTCTCCATGCTCCGTCAGGGTTTCACAGGGCTGGGCACACAGGATTGTACCTGTGTCGCTGTCTCTGATGTACTTTGAACTCCTTGAGGACAGGGACCATGTTTCACTCATCTTTGATTCCCGAGCTCTCTCGCTGTTGGACATGTAGTAGTTGCTCAATACATTTTGTGTTGAAAGACTGGCTGGACAGATGAGGATCTGGGGGAGGGCAGACCAGTCTGGACTGGTGCAGTTAGAGAAGGCTTTGGGGCAGAGGTGCTGCTGGAGAACGCGAGAGGGAGGCATTCTAGGCTGGGGGAGGGGTGCAGCTTGAGCAGAGGCCCAGGGGAAGCCCCACACTGGACTTATGTTGGAGTCAGTGAGTGGCTGGTTCACCTTGATCAGTGCGGGGAGGGAAAGGTTGGAAGGAGGGTGGGAGATGAGGGCTGGGCCTGAGCGTCAACAGGAAGAGGAGCAAGTCCTGGACTCTAAAGGGGGCGGTGGGGGGCCACTTCCCTGACTGTCCAGTGGTTAAGATGCCGAGCTCCCAATGCAGGAGGCACGGGTTCGATCCCTGGTCGGGGAACTAGGATCCTGCCTGCCACATGGCATGGCCAGAAAAATAAATAAAAATAAAAAAATAAAGGGAGTGGGGTCCCTTGGGAAGAAATGTGCCCAGTGAGGGAAGTAGGGAGGGGTTGGTTGTAAGGACCAGAGCAATCAAAGGAGTCCAGGCTGCGGAAGGCCGTGACGTAAATGGCTAGAGGCCCTGCCCACATCTGGGCCCACGTCTGGGCCTCAGTTTCCCTATGAGCATAAGAAAGGGGTGGGTGATTCAAGGTTCCCAGGGTCTTTCCAGCCTTGTGAGTGTGGGGGTCAGGCGCCCTCTGAGGGAGTCACGAGACTTCTCTGTCTGGGCCCAGTGGTGGCAGCTGGGGCGGTGGGTCTGAGCAGGTGAGGTCCTGCCACACCCCTCCGTCCCACAGAAAGCAGTGTGGCACGTGGTGTGGTCTCCCGGGGGGGCCGCCTCCAGCTGAGTCACTTACAGCCAGACCAGGCTGGCACCTACACATGTGTGGCCGAGAATGCCCTGGCGGAGGCCCGCAAGGACTTCGTGGTGGCCGTGCTGGGTACGTCTGCACCCTGCGCTCCCCGTGTCCCACCCCCATGCCAGCCCCAGCCACCGCCCCAGGCCTCACCACACCCACTCTGCCACAGTGGCCCCCCCGGATCCGGAGCTCGGGCGCCACGCAGGAGCACAGCGTCCTGGAGGGGCAGGGGCTGCGGCTGGACTGCGAGGCTGACGGGCAGCCACCACCCGACGTGGCCTGGCTGAAGGACGGTGGCCCGCTGGGCCAGGGCGCCGGCCCCCACCTCCGGTAAGACCCAGCCTGTGACCTCCCCGCCCCAGGAGGCAAGCCTGCAGGCCCTCACGCACCTGCTCCCGGCTCTCCCTCCCCGGGGCAGGTTCTACCTGGAGGGCAGCTCCCTGGTGCTAAAGGGCCTGAGGGCCTCGGACTCGGGGGCCTACACCTGCGTGGCCCACAACGCGGCCGGTGAGGACGCCAGGCTGCACACCGTGAACGTGCTGGGTGAGCAGCTGAGGGGCGAGGAGAGCCGGGCCGCCCCACCGTCCCAGGGCGGCAGCAGCCTGGCCGCCGTGGGGCCTCCACTGGGGCACCTGGAGGGCGGTGCCAGGGCCCGGATACGGGAGCCCTGGTGAAGCCCCAGCCGTGCCCACTCTGTGAGCCAGGCCAGCCTGACCTGTCCGGGCCTCTGCCCCATCCTCAGACTAGGGGCACAACTGCGACAGCCCAGGGGCGCAGTGGGGGAGTCGGGATAAAGGAGAGACCCACACCCCCAGGCAGTGGACTTCATCGTCACCTGGGTTGGGCGCGGGCCTGAGACCCACGTGATGATTGCCACACGGTGGCTGCACGTGGCAGAAGTCGAGGTATCGGCGCCACCTCCTGGGACTTCCCTGAGAGGAGCCCACCTCCCCGCCCAGGCCCCCTCACTGCCCCCGTTTTTCCTCTCTGCCCACCCACCAGTGCCTCCCACCATCGAGCAGGGGGCAGAGGGCGCAGGGACCCTGGTGAGCAGGCCTGGGGAGCTGGTGACCATGGCGTGCCCTGTCCGGGGCTCCCCGCGCATCCACGTCAGCTGGCTCAAGGATGGCCTGCCCCTCGCGCTCTCCCAGCGCACCCACCTCCACGGCTTGGGCCGCACCCTCAGGTAAGGGAGCGGCTCCCCTGCCCGCCAGCCAGCGGATGGCAGGCCCCAGATACACTCTTCAGGCAGCTTGGGCTTAAAAGCACGTCTGAATGGTTTTTAGACTAAAAATAACATAAACATACAGAGGTTTCTGATGGGGAGAGTGGGAGATGAAAGGGGCCTCTGCCCTCAGGCTTTCACAGCCCAGTGGGGGAGGTACAGATCCGGGTGATGACATCTGGTGGCACCTAACTCAGCCTGGCCCCAGGTAGAAGAAATCTGGGAAGGCTTCCTGGAAGAAAGTGCCTGAGCAACGTCTTCATGCATTCAGCAGCACTTAACGGAGTGCTTGCTGTTCCAGGTACAGTTCCAGGTACTGGGCTGGAGCAGTGAGCAAGATGAAGCCTTTGCTCCTGCAGCTTTGGGGAGGGAGGGGAATGGAAAATAAACAGATATAAAAGTGACATGTCACAAGGGATGTGTGCTCAGAAGAATAAAGTAGGGTGAGGGGATGGGAGGTGGCAGTGGAGGGTGCTATTTTAGGGTGGCCAGCAGTAGGCACTCAGATGAGGTGACACTTGAGCAGAGATGGAAGGCGATGAGAAGGGGAGGTGAGTGGATTCCATGGCAGGAAGAATTCCATTCCTTCCAGGCAGGAAGAGCAGGTTCAAAGGCCCTGCGGTGGGCGTGTGGCTGTGTGTTCTCGAAACAGAGTTGGAGGGTCGGTTATGATGGGGGAAGTCAGGTGACACAGGGCCTCGTAAGTCCTTCAAAAGACTTGGGCTTTCCTAAGGAGAGAAGGGAAGCCCTGAGAGGGTTTTCAGCAGAGAAGTCACATCATGACGTGACTTAAATTTTGTGTATGTGGTAAAAACACATAATAGAAAAGTTACCATTTTAGCCATTTTTAAGTGTACTGTTCAGGGGCGTTAAGTACATTCACATTGTGGTGCAACTTCACCATCTCCAGACCTTTTCATCTCCCCAAACGGAAACTCTGCCCCATCGAACAGTAATTCCCCACCCCGCTCCCCAGCCCCTGGCACCCAGCACTGTACTTTCTGTCTGTGAACCTGCCTTATTCTGAGTACCTCAGATAAGTGGAATCATGCAATCGTTGTCCTTCTGTGACTGGTTTATTTCACGCAGCATCATGTTTTCATCCATGTTGTGGCATGTGTCAAATTTTCCATCCTAATTTTTAAGGCTGAATAATATCGCCTGGTATGTGTAGAACACGTTTTCCTTTCACCCATCGATGGACACTTGGATTGCTTCCACATTTTAGCAGCTGTGAATAATGCTGCTGTGAACACGGGTGTTGGCTTATCCGTTTGAGCTTCTACTTTCATTTCTTTGCGGTTGTGACTTAGGTTTTTAGACGATCCTTCGGGCTGCAGTGTGGACAGCAGACTGTAGGGCCAAGGGCAGAGTGGGAGGGCATTTTAGGGCTGCGGCCACAAGCCAGGTGAGACGTGGCGGGGCCTGGATCAGAGCCACGTGGTGGAGGTGCTCCAGCTGGCGGTGTTTGCGGAGAGATGGGGAGGGGTTGAGCAGGGCTCTGGGGTCTCTATCTGGGAACCCGGAAGGCTGAAGTCTGTTTTCTGAGATGGGTCCACAGTGGGAGGGGCAAGTTGAGGGGTGAGACCGGTGTTCTGTTCCAACCTGTTGGTTGGAGAGGTTCTTGGACATACAGGGAAGGTGGAAACCAGGCATTTGATACTCCTGTCAGGAGTTTAGGAGGTAGATGTTTGGAGATTGTCAGTGAACAGGTGGTGTTGGAAGCCAGGATGGGCTGCGGGCCCCGGGAAGTGAGTGTGGACTGAGCCTGGGCTGCCAGCATTAGGTGGTTATAACAGACGTTTCAGGGTCACTGGGGACGTTGACAAGGGCGGCTCAGGAGGAGTGGTCGGGGCAAAAGGGGGTTTGAGAGACAGTGAGGGTTCAGGCAGTGGAGACAGTGAGTAGAGACGAGTCTGGTGAGTCCTGAAAGCTGAGAGGAATTGTCTAGAAGAAGGGGGTGGGAGTACAGGCTGTCCGGGGGTGGGCCAGTGGAGCTTCCAGAATTTGGGAAGCAGGAAGTCTGGCTGCAGAGTGAGGTGGGCAGAGAAGGCAGCAGGGGTGGGGGGTGAGGTGGGGACTCTCCCTCTCTCTCCCTCTCTCTCTCTCTCCCTCTCCCTCCCTCTCTCTCTCTCCCTCTCCCCCTCTCTCTTTCTTCCTGTCTCTCTCTCTCTCCCTGTCTCTCTCTCTCCCTCTCCCCCCCTCCCCCCTCCCTCTCTCTCTTCCTGTCTCTCTCCTCTCTTCTGTCTCCCCCCTCCCCCCTCTCCCCCTCCCCCCTCTCCCTCTCTCTCTCTCCCTCTCTCCCCCCTCCCCCCTCTCCCCCTCCCTCTCTCTCTTTCTTCCTGTCTCTCTCTCTCCCTCTGTATCTCTCTCCCCCCTCCCTCTCTCTCCCTCTCTCTCTCTCTCTCTCTCCCTCCCTCTCTCTCTCCCTGTCTCTCTCTCTTTCTTCCTGTCTCTCTCTCTCTCCCTGTCTCTCTCTCTCCCTCTCCCCCCCTCCCCCCTCCCTCTCTCTCTTCCTGTCTCTCTCTCTCACTCTGTCTCTCTCTCTCACCCCCCGCCCCCTTTGCTCTCGGGCTTCAGGATTTCCCAGGTGCAGCAGGCAGATTCCGGCATCTTCACCTGTGTGGCTTCGAGCCCAGCGGGCGTGGCCGACAGGAACTTTACCTTGCAGGTGCATGGTAAGGAGCAGGGGAGTGGGTTAGCGGGTCCTTCGGCCTTAGGGACGAGAATCAAGGCTCTTGTCCCCTCCCCTCTGCCCATCTGGGTGAAACCAAGGGTTGGCCCTCAGGGATGTCAGGGCAGGGCAAATAGTCTCTGATTCATTCGGTCACTCATTCATTGATCTCACAAGTAGTTGTTGGACACTAGTGTGCCAGGGCCTTGCCAGGCACTGGAATATGGCAGTGAGCAGAGGTAGCCCTGACATCAGGAAGTCGGTGAGGGAAACAGCTCTGTAAAATTAAAATTCCACGCAACTAGTGATACCAGGGTAAGGAGAGGGTGCCACAGGAGCACAGAGGAGGGCACCTCACCTGGCCTCGGGCATTCAGGGAAGGCTTCCTGGAGGAGGTGAGGTCTAAGCTGAGGACTGAAGATGAGAAGGAATAGTCCAGGAGAAGGGCATTCTGGCCCATAGTTACAGTCTGTGCAAAGTCCAGGGGCGAGGGCCACCTGGCATTGGATAAGTTGGCTCGTGCCCACTCTTTTGCCCTGTGCAGTGCCCCCTGTCCTGGAGCCGGTCGAGTTCCAGAATGACGTGGCGGTGGTCCGTGGCTCCCCGGTGGTCCTCCCCTGTGAAGCCCGGGGCAGCCCCCTGCCCCTCGTTTTGTGGATGAAGGATGGGGAACCCTTTTTGCCCCGGAGCCTGGAACAGGGGCCTGGCCTACAGCTGGAGACAGCGGGAGTTGGCGACTCAGGGATCTACTCCTGCGTGGCCGTGAGCGAGGCAGGGGAAGCGAGGCGGCATTTCCGGCTGACGGTGATGGGTGGGTCACCTGCCCCCAGCGCCAGCTTCTCTGGGCCAGGGACAGGACGGGGGCCCTCGGGGGGGCGATGGAGGCAGTGAGAGAGGTGAGCACCCTGGAGGCTTGGGGCTTAGGGAGCAGGCCTCGCCGACCTGGCTGCAGGGGCTGGGGGCCAGGACACTTCATTCTCCTGGGGCTGTGCCCCTCTGTCTTGTCCTTGGAACCTTGTAAAGCAGGAACAAAGCCATCGAAATCTTGGGGCTCTAAGTCTGAAGCACAAGATTTTGCAAGTGTGCCCTACTGGAAAGATGCGTTTCCCTCCATACTGTATCCTTGTTGTTGTTTTTTTGTTTGTTTTTTGTTTTTGCGGTACGCGGGCCTCTCACTGTTGTGGCCTCTCCCGTCGCGGAGCACAGGCTCCGGATGCGCAGGCTCAGCGGCCATGGCTCACGGGCAGCCGCTCCACGGCATGTGGGATCCTCCCGGACCGGGGCATGAACCCGTGTTCCCTGTATCGGCAGGCGACTCTCAACCACTGCACCACCAGGGAAGCCCTCCTTGTTGGTTTTTAAGCGCAAATCATTGTCCCAGGCAGATGGGCCCAACGTGTTTAGGACCCTCCAACACAATCACCAGCTTCCTGTTTGCAGGCCCATGTACTGTCAGCATCTGGATGGTGGGGGAGGGGAATGAACCCCACATCCTAGTGTTCTGGCCATGGCCCCCATGGCTGACCCAGGGCGGGGTGTCTTGCAGATCCCCCCCACATCGAGGACTCAGGCCAGCCTGCAGAGCTATTGCTGACCCCCGGCACCCCCTTGGAGCTCCTCTGCGATGCCCGGGGCACCCCCCAACCCAGCATCACGTGGCACAAGGATGGGCAGGCCCTGAACAGGCCGAAGGACAGCAAGAGGGCCGGGCGGGGGCTCCGGGTGGAGGGTGTGCAGGTGCTGCTGCCCTGCCTGCTGTGGCATGAAGCTGGGGAGAGGAGGGGAGGGACCCAGTGGCACTTGGCAGGGTTTGCCCAAGCTCCACTTTTATTCGGGGTATGAGGATGTGAAGAGGACCCCCCACCCCGGCCCCGGGCCATGCCCTTGGGAGCTCCCAGTCAGGTTAGACCCAAGGCTGATGCAGAAACCAGATAAATCCCTAACCCCACCAGAAAAGAACTGGTACAGTCAAGGGGGACTCCCTGGAGGAGGCAGACTCTGCCCTAGCCCTAAAGCAAGGGTGAGCCAGTAATAGGGAAGAAACATCCCAGAGAGGAGAAGGGGTTGGTGGGAAAGGCAGGATGGCTGACTCAGCAGGCCTGAGGCTAAATCCTGGGTCCTCAGCTGTGTAGGAGGGAAACCAGATCAGGAGGTGGGCAGGGTGGTGCCGGAGGTAGCTGCTCACCCTGCCCCATCCCCAGGTGGGTGACGCTGGGCTGTACACTTGCCTGGCCCACAGCCCTGCTGGTGAAATCGAGAAGAGCTTCCGGGTCAGAGTTCAAGGTAGGGGGCTGCCAGAGTGGGGGCGGGAGAGGGAGGCAGGATGGGACCTGCAGGGGTGGGTCCCTCTCTCATGTCCTCCCTACCCACCTCACCAGCCCCCCCAAATGTCATTGGGCCCCAAGGCCCCCGCGGTGTGGTTGGCCTGGCCCCGGGACAGCTGGTTCTAGAGTGCTCGGTGGAGGCAGATCCCGCACCGGAGATCGAGTGGCACCGTGATGGCATCCTGCTGCAGGTGGGTGCCAGGCTGGGGACCCAGGGGCACCGCTTTCTGTTCCTCTCAGGCCCCAGACCCTGACCAGACTCGATCCCAGGTGCCGAGGGCCTATTCTGGGCCGGCCCTTTGCATACCTGCTCTCCTGACCTTTTCCACCCCTGTTACTATTGTCACCCCCATACTGTGGATGGGGACACCGAGGCAAGGCTAAGATTTGCACCCCAGGGCTTCTGATGCACATCTGTGCTGTACCTTTGAGCTGTGCTTAGTGGCTGTGTGGCTTGGGGCCAGTTACTGCGGTTCTGTGCGCTCACCCCTGAAATGGGGCCAATTTGCTTCTGTGGACCCAAGGATTGTAGATCTGGTGGAAGCTCCAGCTCCTAGTGTGAGCATGGGTCCCCCCTGCAACATGCCCGGCAGGCAGAGCTCCAGGGAAGATGCTCTTTCCCTCCCAAAGGAGCCTATTTCCCCAGAAAGTCCTCAGCTGCGCATCAGTTCAGGGGCTGCAGGCCGGCCCAGAATGAATGGGGCAGAGACCACTGTCCGGCCCCGCTGGTTCCTTGGTCTTGGTGCGTGGGGGGCTGGCCTGGCCCAGCCCAGCACTGATGAGGGTCTCTCCACCCTGGGGGTCTCTACAGGCAGATGCCCACACCCAGTTCCCAGAGCAGGGCAGGTTCCTCCAGCTGCAGGCCCTGAGCACGGCCGACAGTGGCAACTACAGCTGCACAGCCCGCAATGCTGCAGGCAGCACCAGTGTGGCCTTCCACGTGGAGGTCCACAGTGAGTGGCCCCACCCCACCCGCCCTGCCCCCCCTCCCTGAGAGCGACAGGGTCCCAGCACCCGCCCCCTCTGTGCCTCTCCTCCAGCGGTGCCCACCATCCGGCCAGGACCACCTGCAGTGAATGCCTCCGTGAACCAGACGGCTCTGCTGTCCTGCAAGGCAGACGGTGCCCCCCCGCCCCTTGTGAACTGGCGGAAGGATGGCATCCCTCTGGATCCTGAGAGCCCCAGGTGGGAGCTGGTAGGGGAGGGCATCAGGGAGGGGCTCAGGTACCTCTTTACGGGTTGTAAACGGAAGCCCACCTGGGCAGTTGGAGCAGAAAGGACATGGGTCTTCTCAGAACCCAAGGACATACATGCCCATTCGTTAAGGGCGTGAGAACCCCTGGTGGCTGTCTGTCTGTCTGTCTGTCTCTAGTTTTGACTCTTGGTTGCTAGTCTGTTTCTGTGTGTGAGGGCTTCATGCCTCTCTCTCCCTCAGACCAATTTTCTACACCTTCTTTCTCTAAGAACATGGCAGAACGGCTCCCCACACACACCTCCCCCCGCCCCCCCCACCCCCAGCCAAGTTATAGCTGCTGTGTTCACACAACCTGCAGACCCTGGTGAGCTGTCTGTGAATCCTAGTTCCAAATTCCCAGGGCAGAGAATTCCATTGGCTCAGCCTGCATGATGTGTCCATCCCCCGTCCAACCGGCTGTGGCCAGGGGCGGGGTCACACAGTACAGACATGGCCCCTGGGAAAGGGCAGTTTTCCGACCTAATTGAGGGGCTGTTCTCAGAAAGGGTTGGGGTACCACTGCCCTCTGGCTCTTGGGGGGAGGCTGGGCCCAGGTGGGAGCATGGGAGGCCCGAAGCAGCCCCTCTCACCCTTTCTGATGCTGGGTTGTGGCGCAGGTTACTGCCCAAGGCTGTGGCCCCACGCCCCACCCCCCCACCGACCTTGGCCTCACAGATGCAGGACTCCTGAGTCAGCATCCTCTCGCTCAGAAAGCCAGGGACCAAGGGGAGGGTCTCGCTGGAGACACTACCAGGGGTCCAGCTCCTCCCCAGGGACTTGCTGGTCTGCCGGTATCCATGGCAACCCCTCCCTGTGTTCCAGGTTTCAGGTTCTGCCTGAGGGTTCCCTGAGGATCCAGCCAGTCCTCGCCCAGGATGCCGGCCACTACCTCTGCCTGGCGTCCAACGCCGCAGGTTCCGATCGGCAGGGCCGCGACCTCCAGGTCTTCGGTAGGTAGAGGAGGGAAGGTGTGTTTTTTTTGCCTTCAGCGTCCACCCCCTGTCTGGACCGGGTCCTGCTTAGTTTCTGGTTCATCTTAGCTGTCAGGAGCCAGGAGCAACGATCTCCAAATATTTTTGACCATGAATCCTATTAATAAAAAGTTTTGAGCATGTACACTCAAAGATGCATATTGGGGCTTCCCTGGTGGCGCGGTGGTTGAGGGTCCGCCTGCCGATGCAAGGGACACGGGTTCGTGCCCCGGTCCGGGAAGATCCCACATGCCGTGGAGCGGCTGGGCCCGTGAGCCGTGGCTGCTGAGCCTCTGCGTCCGGAGCCTGTGCTCCGCCACGGGAGAGGCCACGACAGTGAGAGGCCCGCGTACCACAAAAAAAAAAAAAAAAAAAAAAAAAAGATGCGTATTTATCTTTATGCATACCTTATATACACTTACTATTATGCTGTTCTACTGCATGAGAAAACATGCACGAGCTGTAGAACCCTCAGAATCACTGAGCCAGGGGCTCTGATCTGCTCTTCCATCCCATTGATCACCTTGGTGGAGGCTGCGCTGCTGGGCCCTGGCCTCGGGTGGGGCTGCCGGGGAGTTGCGCCCTGGAGGCCCCATTCAAGGAGGTGTAGTTAGGGGGATGCCAGCCTCAGGGGTGGTCAAAGGCCCCATCGCCCCAGCTTTGGGAACCCGTTGGAAGATCCGCTCGGGGAGTTTCTCCTGCCTCCTCGCCCCTGCTTCCTCGGGGATGGGCTGAAGGTGGTTGGAGTATCTCCTGCTCCTGGACTTTACCTTAGAGACCCCCGCCCTGCCCCCACCCCACACCCCGTCTCCTGATCACTCTTCTCTCCCCAGAGCCTCCAGCCATCACCCCCGGCCCCTCCAACCTGACCCTGACTGCTGACACCGCCGCCTCACTGCCCTGTGAGGCCAGAGGCTCTCCCAAGCCCCTTGTGGTCTGGTGGAAGGATGGACAGAAGCTGGACTTCCGCCTGCAGCAGGGAGCCTACCGGTACTGAGCTGGTCCTTCTGGGAGCGTCATGAGATGCCTGGGGTGGGGAAGGGCGTGCCTGTGTCAGAGAAGGGGAGCCAGGCCAGAACTGAGGCAGGGGCGCGCTCGGGTCTCACCAAAGCCAGCACCAGAACTTGTGTCCTGACTTCAAAGGGCCAGGAGGGTCTTTACATTAAGATACCTGGTCGGAGGTGGGGACATTTGGGACATACAGCCAAATGGAAAATATATGGCCTTTGCAACCACTTTAGTCACTATTTAAGAACCCACGTAGAAGCCCAAGTTCATGCCGGTTGAGCCTGGACCCATGGCTCCTGCAGGAGCCTCGGTCTCCCCGTTTCTCAAATGCAGCTGACCCTGAACTGATCCCTGGGAGTATTAAGAGGTCAGTTCACCAGTTAATTCACCAGATATGTGTTGTGTTAGGTGCCAGCTCATCGTGGAGCTTTGTGACTAAGCAGGTGTTCAGTGAACACGAGCAGTTCTGATCAGGGCTTTGGATATGGTTACTAATGCAGAAGTTATCATAGGTGGTGACTGTAGGAAATTTTTAGGATTATGGAGAAACCCAGAGGCAAACATTAAAATTGCCCACAAACTGAACAGGTAGACCTTGGGAGGTAGAAAATTCTAGGAGAAACTTCTAGAGTCGAGGCTGGGGGCCGGTTACAGGAAGGGAAAATAGTCATGAAACACATCCCTCGCCTCCAAATTCCCCGGGTAGGGAGGCCACGCTGGCTGGTTTCAAGTCAGCCCGGCCAGTCACTTAGCAGACAACCGTCCGTCTGTCTGTCCAGGCTCCTGCCCTCCAACGCCTTGCTCCTCACAGCCCCCAGCCCTCAGGATTCAGCCCAGTTTGAGTGTGTGGCGAGCAATGAACTGGGCGAGGCCCACAGGCTCTACTGGGTGACGGTTCACGGTGAGTTCACACTCAGGAGTGACTGTTCACAGCGAGGGCAGATGAGGAGGCCGGGATGGGGACAGTGCCTCCCTCTCCTGGGCGCTCTCTCTGCCTCCAGGGACCTGCACGGCTTCCCTCTGAGCCTTTCTGTGCTTCCCGGGTCACCGCCTCCAGGAAGCCCTCTCTGATCCTGCCCTCCCACACTGACATAACCCAACTCCAGCACAGTTCCTGGCCTGTGGGAGCTCGTAGGCGAGGCCTCTCCCAAGTCCAGAATGTTCTGAACCCAAATCTGACCTTGTCATCACCCCAGTTAAAATCCCTCCCACCACGGCTGCCTGCCGCCCTCAGGATAGAATGCATGGTGTCACCTGGGCCCAGAAGGTCAGCCCTGCTGACCCCCCAGGTTCAGCTCACCCCATGGCCTGCCTCACTCTGGGTTGCATTCATGCCTCTCAACTTTTTGTTCCTTACCTCGGGGCCTTTGCACATGCTGTTCCCTCTGCTGAACACTTTTCCCTTCACCCAAGCAATATCTGCTCTTCCTTCAAATCTCAGGTTAAATGCCACACGCCCCAGAGACCTTCTCTGGCCTCCCTCACTCTGTACCCCCACCAAGCCCACTTGTCTTGTGAAACGCTGCCTGAGATACCTGGCTGGTATCTATAGAAAGCAGTTCATAACTATCCCACACGCCCAGCAAAACACATCTGAGTGAGGAAATGTGACTACTGCACCTCCCTCCCCGGAGCTTCATCACTGATGTCACCTTGTGTCGTAGTCTGTTTATCCTCCTCGTCCACCTGGCCCCGTGGCTGTGTGTTCCCCAGGGGACCTCAGCAGGGCCTCAAGCCTTGCCTTGCGTTTCAGTGCCTCCCACCATTGCCGACGACCAGACAGACTTCACTGTGACCATGATGGCGTCCGTGGTCCTCACGTGCCACAGCACAGGGGTGCCAGCCCCAGCTGTGTCCTGGAGCAAAGCAGGCACCCAGCTGGGGTTGCGGGGAAACGGCTACCATGTGTCACCTTCGGGTAAGTAAGGGTGAGCCACGTGGACCTGCTGCTGAGGGGACACTAAGGGGCGTCGGGCGGAGGCTGTGAAAGCAGCCCGCCGGGGCCTGGTGGTTGAGAAGATGGAAAGTTCTGGCCTGGCTCTGCCATTCGCTCACTGTGTGACCTGGGAGAACCCCCTCGCGCCCCACCCCCCAGGCCTCAGTGTCCCCATCCACGCACTAGAGTATTGATATCCATCAGTCAGTCCCTGATGCTAGTTGGTAAGTTGGTGCTCCTTATGGCAGAATGAGAAAAATAATAGCGACATGAGAGTTTTCATAAGCTAGTTTTAGCTCATTAGAAGGATTGGCCTTTATTCTGAAATAATGCTTTTCTTAATAATTTGGTGTTGAGAGTGCCTTTCTTTTATGAGATTAAGGTGATAGTACATGGTAATTTTTTAAGTGTCTTTGCTTGTTAAAATAAAAAGTTGGCAACTTTATGGGGATTCTCTAAATTAAATGTATTTTTTAGTTGGTTGGTTAGTGAAATCCTAAAGTCTGTGAACCACTGGCCGGATCTGTGGTTTTCAAACTCTTCCAAAGCAATAGAACACTTCCTCTGACAAGTGGTTATGGGAAAGCCCAACACGTGAGAGAAGCTAGGTTCTGGTTCCATCTGAGGCTGGGATGGGAGCTGTGGGGTGGTCCAGAGTCAGGTGGGCCTCGCTCCCTTTGCCCCCTCAGCAGGCCCTCAGGGGTCCACGGGGGATGGTTTAGAAACCACCTTACCTGACTTGCAGCCTGTGGTCTGGGAAGGTTAAAATGGTATTCATTGAGCAGCCAAGGCTGAGGGAGAGAGGGCAAAGGGAGGACAGAGGAGGCAGCAATCTGGGGAGGCTTCCTGGAAGAGGCAAGTTTTGAGCAGAGTGCAGCAAGGATAACAGGGTGAGGGCCCATGGAACCAGGCGCGGGCGGTCCAGGGATTCCAGGCCGGGTAGTGGCAGATCCTGGCACATCACAGCCAGAAGGATCTAGAGATCGTCCTGTCTGATTCCTCATTGTACACCTGGCCCAGAGACTAGAAGTACCAGAGAGCAGAAGGGACATTGCCTACGGTAATGGTCTGAGCAGGGAGCAGAGGCAGGCCCAGGTTCCCCCGTGCTGCTTACAAATGGGCAGGGAGGCAGATTGAGTGGCCTGTAACAGAGACACCAGGGTTGGGTGTGTAAGAGCGCTGCCGGCTCCACCCCTGGGACATCTGTCCCAGGCCCCCTCACCCCTCTCTGTGCCCTGTTCCCGTCCACAGGTGCCCTGGAGATCAGGCAGGCGCTCCCCATCCATGCCAGCAGATACACCTGCACGGCCCGCAGCTCCGCCGGCGTGGCCCACAAGCACATGGTCCTCACCGTGCAAGGTAAGCGTCCCCGAGGCCAGACAGCCATGGCTCTTGGGGCAGGGAAGCTGGCAGAGGGCTAGAGGATTCTTTGGGAGAAAAGAAACAGCCCGCCTGTGCCCTCCTTTCCGACGTTTCTGGAACCCTTTGTTCCCTTTGGCAGCCTCTCTCTCTGGTGCTCAGACGGCCCCTGGTGGGAGAGGCCTGGGTGTTAATGGTGTCCCCAGGGACCTCTGCAGCCCTGTTCCTTTGCAGCCTCCCCCGTGGTAAAGCCACTACCCAGTGTGGTCTGGGCGGTGGCAGAGGAGGAGGTGCTGCTGCCCTGCGAGGCCTCGGGCATCCCCCGGCCGAGCATCACCTGGCAGAAGGAGGGGCTCACCGTCCCTGCAGGTGAGTCTCCTTGGCAGCCAGCGTGGGTGGGAGGATGACCGTATGAACCTGCGGTCCTCCTTCCTGCCCCCGCTTCACCTCCTGCCCTCCCGTCTCCCCTCACCACCCCAGAGCCCTTGATTCTGCCTGAGCACTCGGTGGCTGGGCTGGGAGTTTGGGTCCGGCTTCCGTGCTCGCTCTGCCCCCTCGTCACCCTGTGGCCACAGCAGGTCACTCGGCCGGTCAGACAGGACAGCCCAAGCAGCTTTCCTGCCCTCCTCGGGGGTCCTATCGCCCCAGCGACCGGCCCCCGATTCCTTCCCGCCAAACCCAGGGGTGAGGACCCAGGTCCTAACCAGTGGACAGCTGCGGATCATCCATGTCAGCCCAGAGGATGCTGGGAACTATTTCTGCGTCGCCCAGAACAGCGCAGGCAGTGCCCTGGGGAAGACTCGGCTGGTGGTGCAAGGTGGGCCCCGGGGGTGTGGGTGAGTCTGAAGTGGACCCCAGCGAGCTAGGGGCTTTGAGGCTCCTGAGAGCCCCTCCCTTCTCTGCCCAGCCCTGGTCCCGGGCGGGGCATGTCCCCATGTCCACCCCTACTCCAGCACGGCTTGTGGTTCTAGAAAGAATTCAAGAAAAAAACGACTCCCATTTTGCACCCAAGGTCTGGCTTCAGACGGTAACTCCAGGGTCGCCTCTGCCTCCTCTGGCCCCTCCGGGGAAACTAGTCTGGTCATTCTTCGTTCATTTTGGCTTTCCAGTAGCAACAGCCATTTCCGTCCGTTTAGTCACTGTGTGTGCATGTGGGTGAATGGGTCACTCTGTCACAGCTTCTTCACCAAGCTCCAGAAAGTCCCCAGGTTATCCAGACCACAGGGCCTATGACCAGGGGCCGGTGGGGGCAGCAGACAGGGATGGAGGAAGGGGCTGAGGGTGTGTCAAGTGCCAAGGGCACTGGGGCAGGGATGGCCCACCCCAGCCCACCCCAGCCCGGCCCAGTCACCAAGGGGACCTCCCTATCCCCACAGTCCCGCCTGTGATCGAGGCTGGCCTTCCCGACCTGTCCGCCACTGAAGGCTCCCACGCTGTCTTGCCCTGCACGGCCAGCGGCAGTCCTGAGCCCGACATCACCTGGGAAAAGGACGGCCAGCCTGTGTCTGGAGCTGAGGGGAAGTTCACCATCCAGCCTTCCGGGGAGCTGCTGGTGAAGAACTCAGAGGTGAGGGCCTGGCCCCAGGGAGCAGAGGGGAATAATAGTAACAGCAGGAGCGGCAAACACCTGCTGAGCCCCCCCCCCCCCCGAGCGCCATGCTCTGTGCTGAGCACCCCCTGTGTGCCATGCTCTGTGCTGAATGCTGTGCAGCTTCTTAATCCTGGAACCTGGGGAAGTAGGTGTTATCACCTTAGCTACAGATGAGGAAACCGAGGTTCAGAGTGTACCCAGGTTTTGAAGACATGCTATTGCCAAGAGGCAGAACCAAGATTTGAATCAGGACCTCTATGGCTAGTCCCTGGGGGAGGGAAGGAGCCCTGGAAGAGAGGGAGGGGGGAGCGTGGCGATGACTTTGTGTCCCCAAACTGCCTCAAATGTTCTTAACCTGAGCTACAGGCATGGGTGGGACCCCGGCTCCCTTCCCCCATCAGTACTCATCACGTTCTATAATTACAAAAGAAGTCGCTGTCCAGATGGATGGGTGGCTGCTGGGTGGGCACATCTCGAGGGGGCCATGGGGGTGGGGATCCTGCCCCACGGGGAGCCAGATGTGCAGTGGTGAGTGCACCAGCCCTGCTGCGATGCACCACAGAACTTCTCCTCTCGGAGAAGGCACCGAAAGCAGGGCCCGCCTCGGGGATGATGGATGAGGTGAGCACAGGTGAGCGGAGTGCAGGTTCCGTTCTGAGCACATAGGAGGTGCTTAGTAAATGGTGACTGTTACAAACGTGTGGTTAGATTATGAAGGCTGAAAATTCAATTAACAGTCAAATTAAGAAGGAAAAAAAGGGAATTTTTTGGAGCCAAGCTGAGGATTATAACCGGGGAGACTTGTTAGAAGTAAAGGCACGGTCACATACATTTTCAAGACGAAGAATCATACATGAGAATGACATACTCGTCTTTCACATAAAGTTCACCAGACACACAGTCCGGGTAAGCAGGTACAAAGTGAACAGCGAGTCACCATGACCCCATACAGAGCTGGGAAGGAACGCTATTCTTTTAGGAAGTTACATTGCTAGCGTCAGAGGAGAGGAAAGAAAAAAAGATCTTTACAGCTGAGCAGGCACACCCGTCCTTGAGGAGCTCTGGTTAACGTGTAATGCAGATACACACCGCACGTTAGGGATGGAAGGAGGAGGCCCAGAAAGACAGAGAATTTCACGTTTAGTTTTTCTTGTCCTGCCTTAAAATATAAATTGTATTTCATCAAAGCGCATAGCCATAGGAAGGCTGCAGGGAGGTGCAGTGGTGAAGCTGAGCTGTTTGCTAGCTGTGTGACCTTGGGCAAGTCACTTTGCCTCTCTGGGCTGGATGGTCCATGGGAACCTGCCAGGGAGCAGGTCTGCGGGGGCATTCTGGCCCATGTTGGGGTGGGGCGGTTATCAGGCTGACCCCTCCCTTTGCCCACAGAGCCAGGACGCTGGCACCTACACCTGCACTGCCGAGAATGCCGTGGGCCGCGCCCGCCGCCGCATGCACCTCGCCATCTTGGCACCGCCTGTCTTCACCAGCCTGCCTGGGGACCGCAGCCTGAACCTTGGGGACAGGCTGTGGCTTCACTGTGCGGCCCGTGGCAGCCCTACGCCCCGAATAGGCTGGACTGTCAACAACCAACCGGTCACAGGTCTGGGCCTGCTGGGGGCGGGTGGGACAGAGACCCAGGGCGCTGGGAGGTTGAAGAGGGTGGGCGGGTGGGGTGACCCAACCCGGTGAAGAGGAAGACGGTACCAGTCAGCCTGTGGGTTCTGGGTCTCCAGACTTGGCCCTGCGTTGGGGCACAGGGCAAACACACATGTGGCCCTATGTGACCAGTCACACGTCAGACCCAGCAAGAAGCCACCTGTGAAAAAGACTCAACCCTGGAGACCTCAGGGCCAGGAGAGGGGCCTGTGCTCCAGCCTAGCACTGCTGCTCCCATTGTGGGCCCCTCAACACACTCCATTCATGGGGGGCTCTCTCCTCTCACCTGGGTCCCCAGTGACGTTTAGGGAGGTCCAAGGCCTGCACAGGCCCTGTGGTACTCAATAAACGTCTGCCGAATGGATGAGTTGCTAAGTCTCCTCCGCTGCAAAGTGGTGTTTTCACATCCTCCTGTACCCAAGTCCAGGTGCTGGGAAACGAGCGCTCCACCTTTGCACACCTGTGCAGAAGGCTTTGCCTCAACCTCACTGCTTCCTGGGCGGAGAGATCAGGAGAGAGATTCAGCCTCTCTGAGCCCAGCTCTTCATCTTGAAATAGAGATAACAGGGGTCCTGAGGGTGGAACGATTTAATGCAGGAGGTTCGCCTGGCAAGGCCTCGCCCAAGTAAATGCCCCGTCGGTGTAGCACGTGTCCTTATTCCCGGTGGAGGGGCACTGTCTAAGGATTACAGGGAAAACAAAGGCTGTTAAGAGCATCTATCTCGGGACTTCCCTGGGGGTCCAGTGGTTAAGACTCTGCGCTTCCACTGCAGGGGGCACGGGTTCGATTCCTGGTCAGGGAAATAAGATCCCTCATGCAGTGTGGTACAGCCCCCCTAAAAATTAATTTAAAAATATAGCATCCATCTATATGTAACGCATGACAATATCTCTATAAATGCCACATGTTAATAGGCCCCCGAAGACCTACCCTTGGCCACTCACCATACTCGCGGTGTGGACTTGAAAATGAGAAAAGGCAGGTCTTCAACCTCCTCCTCATCTCCTGATCCTATGCCTGCCACGATAGCATCCCACTTGCTTAGGCTTCCAGCAGGGAGGGGACGCTTTGTGCCTTTATGAAGCACCTGCTGGATACCGAGGCCTGAGTTAAGTGTTCAGGGCAGGAGGTCCCTGGCACCCTGAGCTCAGAGCCCCCTGGGGCATCTCTTTCTCTGCCACAGAGGGAGTGACCGAGCAGAACGGGGGCAGCACACTGCAGCGGATGGCAGTCACCAGAGAGGACAGCGGGACCTACGTGTGCTGGGCCGAGAACAGAGTGGACCGAGTGCAGGCGGTCAGCTTCGTCCACGTGAAGGGTAGGGAGTGACCATGTGGTCTTTCTCCAGACCTCTGCTGACCCAACCTAGTGGTTTTTCGAAGAAACTGGCCTCCTAATCTCTGAACTAGTACCTCTCCACCCTGGCTGGGCAGTAGGATCTCCTGGGGGGCTTATAAAATACCGAGGCCCAGGTTCAACCCCCGACTCAGGAAAGGTGAGGCCTCGACATCAGTATTTTTTACCCTCCCCAGATGACCGGCTGTAGGGAGAACTGAGATCTGACTCATCAGCCTGAAGCACTGCCCTCAGCTGGATGGTGTCCATGTGGGAGGGGGATGGGGGCCAAGGTACCCTGGCACACAATGCGTGAATCTCGCCAGCCTGCCGGTTGCTCCCCACAGCCCTGCCCCCCACAGCCCTGCACAGTAACCCTCATGTCACTGTGACTTGTATGTCCAACTTTAGGATGGGAGGGTGGGGCTCGATGGAGGGGAATGAGCTGCCCAAGGCACCAGGATTCAACTGTACTGTTGGTAGATTCAACCTCAGGAAACCGGCAGGGATGAAAACCAGCACAGGGCATCCAAGAGTGGTTTAAGAGTTGCATGAAATGAGAATCAGGGATGTCTTAATGTTGCTGTGTCCAACAGAGGTGTCCTAATGATCGTGTAGTCCTTGTTTTCCGAAGTACCCTGCCGCTGGGCTAATCCGTCTCTGAGCGCGAGTGTATGACACTCATACACTTTCTCCCCTCCTGTGCCTGTCTCAGGCATCACTAATCAATCATAGCACTATCCCCACTCAACTTCAAATCCTTCTCAGCACAGTGTTCCTGGCAGCCACTGCCAGTCTAGTTCACTTGACCTGCGACATGGAAGCTGTATGCCATCCCAGATGTATTGACTCCACACAGCCGTGCTGAGCCAGCAGGAACCTCCATAGGTTCCTGGGGTCTGTCTGGCAGGCTTTTGGGGATGAATTTATGGGGATTTTAGCCTGAAGGAAACCTCCTTTCTCTCTCCTTGTCCACTGTCACCTTGTGCAGAGGCTCCTGTCCTACAAGGGGAGGCTTTTTCCTACCTGGTGGAACCCGTTGGGGGCAGCGTCCGGCTGGACTGTGTGGTCCGTGGAGAGCCAGCACCCGACATCCACTGGATCAAAGATGGCCTTCTGCTGCAGGGAAGCCGGCTCCGGCACAAGCTGCAGAATGGCTCGTTGACCATCCGTAGGACCGAGGCAAGGCGGGGCCTGGGCTGGGGCCACCTGGGACAACCCTCCACTTTGTCTGATTATCCAAGACGGTTCTTTAGGTTGGCACCACCCTCTACAGTCTACAAAGCATTTTCCTGCCTGTACCCAGAGATCCTCGCCTGACTAGGGTGACCTCCAGCCAGTGGCTTAACTTCTCTGTGCCTCAATTACCTCATCCATTCAATGGGGCTAATAATTGTTCTACCTTGTAGATTTATAGTGAGAAATCAGTGAGATGACCCACACCAGGTGCTTAAGAGTGATCGGCCCCTCAGTAAGGCCAATATATGTTACTAATAACAACCCCATGGAGCAGAGTAAGCGGATAAGAGTGCCTCATTTTACAGATGAAGACACTGAGGGTCAGAGAGGCCCACAGCCCGTAAGCACCTGAGGCAGGACCCCAGCCCAGGTCTCCTGATTCCTACTCCACGCCATTTCCAAAGCCTTGAGCTCGGGGGCAGCCCCTGCTTCCCTTCCCTTCTGTGTCCCAAGTCCCAGTGGTCCTGCAGAATTCCACAGTTTGATGATGTCAAGGACTCATCTTAGGGGTCCTTGATCTTGCCCATCTTGGAGGCTGTCTCAGACTGGTAAAGGCAGCAGCAGCAGCAGCAGCAGTAAGGGTTGCCGTGACCTGAGTATTTGCTGTGGACCAGGCACCGTGCCTCGCAGTTAGGGAGCATGATTTCATTTGATGCTTACAACAATCTTATCGGTTATTATCCCCGTTTTAGAGATGGGGAAACTGAGGCTCCAGAGACATGGTGAACACTGGAGCCCGGATTCGGTCCCATCTCGGACTGATGCCCAAATCTATACTCTTAATTGCATGCCGTGCTGCCCGCTGACAGTCCCTTGGGAGTGACCTCCGGGATATTATCTTCTGGGCGTGGACAGTGGCCTCAGGCTGCCCCAGCTCCATCTCATGGCGGTGCTGCCACTGGAAGCGAATCTGAGCCAGGATTCTTCGAGTTGCATCGCTGCCATGGTCGTGGATATCCTGGGAAGAAACTTCCCTATCACCACGGCCAGGAAGTGCTGCAAACCCTCCCCCTCTGGAAGACTCGAAGTGCGCACTCGCACAATAAAAGCCCCAGGGAGCCTGCAGTGCTGAAACCTGTTCTTGTCTAACTCAGTGTTTCCCAAACTTGCTCCAACACAAAACCCGTTTTCTAAGGAATTCCTAATAATGTGCCGTGGAGTCATAATACTTTAACGTACACAGTTTGGAAGAGGTGGATCTAAATCATGCTTCTGCAGCGTATAGCTCCCCTTAGAGCAATGAGTTGTCACCACCCCAAGTTCCAGGGGTGAAAGGGGCTGGATTCTCTTTGGATTCTATTGACAGGCAGCCATGGAAGCCCCTCTGGTGGAATCTGCGGGCCCCTGGCTGGCTTATGCTCTAAGCTCCTCCTGGTTAGATGGGTCATGCTCCAGGTGCCCCTGTCTGTGCCCAGCTGTCCCCAGATGCTCCCCGCCCCCTTGTCCTCCTCTCCTGAATGCCACGCCCCCGCTCCCATGCCCACCCACAGAAGGACAACGCGGGACGATACCAGTGCCTGGCGGAGAATGAGCTGGGCGCGGTGGAGAAAGTGGTGGTCCTTGTGCTGCAGAGTGAGTCTCAGCCCCACCTTTCCTGGGCCCTGGGTGGGGACCAGGTGAGGTGGGCACCCAGTGAGGTGGGCGCCCAGGGGGCAGCTGTGCCGAGGCTGTGGCTGCCGCCGCCCAGGCTGTGTGATGGGAAAGGAGGGCCATTCTGAATCTTTGTTCAGAACACACAGTTGAAGTCCCATGAGCTGTCTCCCCAATGTGGAATGGGAATTAGGGGCTGGTGAGTACTGGGGACCCAGCAGCCAGGCCTGGGAGGCCTGTTTATTCAGAACTCAAAACTGTCATTGAGATCATAGTGACAGCTCCTGTGTTTGCCAAGCAGGTTATAGCTAACAATAAGTCCAAATAGGGATTTAAAAAAAAATTTTTATTGGAGTATCATCGATGTACAATGTTGTTAGTTTCTGCCGCACAGCAAAGTGAATCAGTTATACATACATATATATATATATATATATATCTCCACTCTTTTTTAGATTCTATTCCCATATAGGTCATTACAGAGTATTGAGTTCCCTGTGCTACACAGTAGGTCCTCATTAGTTATCTATTTTATATATAGTAGTGCGTATTGTATATGTTAGTCCCAGTCTCCCAATTTATCCCTCCCCCACCAGAATAAAATAATGCCATTTGCAGCAACATGGGTGAACCCAGAGACTGTCACACTGAGTGAAGTAAGTTAGACAGAGAAAGACAAATATCATATGATATCACTTATATGTGGAATCTAAAAAGCGATACAAATGAACTTATTTACAAAACAGGAATAAATAAGGATTTTTAATGAAACTTTTCATTGAAGATTCACACACAGGAGGAGGGTACATGTCACAAGAGTACAGCTCAATGAATTTTCATAACATGAACCCACCCAGGTAACCTGCACCCGGATCCGAAAATAGAACAGTAACAGTTCCCAGACCCGCCCCCCCCCCCCATGCCCCCTTCCAGTCTCTACCCGCTCTCGAGGGAATCACCGTCCAGAATTTTGCCTTTTTAAAAAATAGCTTTAGCACTTCCCTGGTGGCGCAGTGGTTGAGAGTCCGCCTGCTGATGCAGGGGACGTGGGTTCGTGCCCCGGTCCGGGAAGATCCCACATGCCGTGGAGCGGCTGGGCCCGTGAGCCATGGCCGCTGAGCCTGTGCGTCCGGAGCCTGTGCTCCGCAACGGGAGAGGCCACGACAGTGAGAGGCCCGTGTACCGCAAAAAAAATTAAAAAAAAAAAATTTAAAAAAAAATAGCTTTATTGAGACATAATTTACAGACCATAAAATTCACCCATTCGTATTATTCACCCTTAAAAAAGAAGGAAACTCTGTCACATGCTACAACATGGATGAGCCTTGAGGACGTCATGTTAAGTGAAATTAGCCAGTCACAAAAAGACAAATACTGTGTAATTCTAATTGTATGAGGTCCCTAGAGCAGTCAAGTTCTCAGAGACGGGCAGCAGAATGCTGGTTGCCAGGGGCTGGGGGGAGGGGAAAGGGAATTAGTGTTTAATGGATATAGGTTCAGTTTGGCAAGATGAAAAAGTTCTGGGGATGGATGGTGGTATTGGTTGCACAACAATGCGAATACAGTTAACACTGCTGAACTGTACACTTAAAAACGAGGAAGATGGTAAATTTTATGTTATATGTTTTTTACCACAGTTTTTAAGTGAAAAAATCCACCCATTATAAGTATACAGTTTGGTGATTCTTAGTAAATGTATAGCATTGTACAACCCATTTTTAGAGTATTACCAAGTTCCCTCTGCCCATTCGTAGTCAATCTCCGTTCCCACCTCCAGCCCCAGGCAACTGCTGATCTGCCTTCTGTCCCTACAGATGTACCTTTTCTGGTAATTTCACATACATGGAATCATACGCAGTTTTTGGTTCCAACTTCTTTCACTTACCGATGTTTTGGGGGTTCATCCATGTTATAGCGTATGTCAGTACATCATTCCCTTTTATTGCTCAGTAGTATTCCATTGTCTGGATTGACCACATTATGTTTATCCATTCCCCAGTCACTAGACATTTAGATTGTTTCTAGTTTTTGGCTCTTGTGAATAATGCTGCTGTGAACATCTGTGTATATGTCTTTGTGTGGATATATGTTCTTTCTCTTGAGATTCCTGGGAGTCTAATTGCTGGGTGACCTGATCACTGTATAAGTCACTTTTTAAGAAATCAGCAAACTAGCTGTACAGTTTTACTTTCCTTCCAGTAGTGAATGATGTTTTGGTTTCTCCATATCCTTGTCAACACTTGGTAATGTCAGTCTTTTAAATTTTAGCCGTCCTTGTGGTTACAAAGTAGTATCTCACTGTGGTTTTAATTTGCATTTCCCTAATAACTAATGATATTGAGCATCTTTTCATGTGTTTATTACTCTTTCATATGACTTCTTTGGCTAAGTGCCTATTTATGTCTTTTGCTCGTTTTTTAAATTGGATTGTCTTGTTAATATGTTCTAAGAGTCGTTTATGTGTCTGAATACAAGTCCTTTATCAGATAGATGATTTGCAAATATTTTCTCCCAGTCTGTGGCCTGGATTTGCATTTCCTGTATTTTGCCTTTGAAGAGCAAAAGTGTTAAAATTTGGTGAAGTCCAGTAGTATTTTATGGATTGTGTTATATTTTAAAAATCTTTGTTTAACCTAAGGTCACATTGTCTTCTGTAATTTTTACAGTTTTTGTTCTTATATTTAGGCCAAATCCATTTGAGTTAATGTTTGTGTGAGATAAGGATCTAAATTCCTCTTTTTTTTTTTTTGGCATATGGATATCCAGTTGTTCTATACCATTTATTTAGATCTTTTCCATTTCTCTCAGTGATATTTTGTAGTTTTCGGGGTACAAGTCTTGTACTTTTGTTAAACTGATTACTAAGTATTGCATGATTTTTGACGCTATTGTAAGGGGAATTCTTCTCTTAGTTTGATTTTTTGGATTTTTCATTGCTAATACATAGAAATACAATTGATTTTTGTTGTCTCGATCTTAAATCCTGCAACCTTGCTAAATTAGTATTTAGTTCTAGTAATTTTTTGGCAGATTCCTTGGGATTTTCCACATGTCTTCTATGAGTAGAGCGGTTTTACCTCTTCCTTTCCCCTCTGGATACCTTTAATTTCTCTATGTTGCCTATGGCATTGATTAGACCCTGTGACACAAGGTTGAATAGGAGTGGCCAGAGCAGGCAGCCTTGCCTTGTCTCCAGCTTAGGGAGGAGAGCATTCAGTCTTACACTACTGAGTATGATGTCAGCTATGGGTTTTTATAGATGCCCTTTACCAGGTTGAGGAAGTTCCCTTTTATACCTAGTTTGTTGAGAGTTTTTGTCGTGGTTGGGGGTGAGGGAGGGAGGTTTCTGGTTCCAGGCAAGATGGAATTAGAGGCACTTCTGCTTATGCCTCTCGCTAAGGACAGCTTAAAAACTCTAGACTTTATATAGAAAACAAACACTGAAAGACTCTGAAAGGTAGAGAAAAGAAGGGTGGGCCAAGAATCTTGGGACCTATGGGATGATATGGCAGCAAAATCCCTAGTTTTTCTTCTTGCCTCGTATATCCTGGGCAGGATGCTTGAGAAGCCAGCAACCTGGAAATACCAATGGGCTCAGACAAAATAAAATAAAATAAATAAAAATGAGGGCCCCCCAAAAGTCTGCTCTCTCTTGCTAAAGGACCAGAAAAAGGACAGCATATCAAGCTAGAAAACTTAGGTAATGACACCCTGTTCCAGCCAAACACCCATCCACAAAGACCAAGTGGGAAACCTACACTTCTGCCTTTTCCTTGCTGTCCCGAGGCACCCCTCTCCCCGCACTGCGGGGTGGGCAGGGGGTCATGGTGTCAGATGAGGCCACGTGGGGGCAATCACCCTCCCAGCCAGGTCTGATATCCGTGGAGGCCTAGTGTGAACTCTGAACTGTGTGCCTGCCCAGCGATGGTAAAGCACCCCTTCTTGTTCTGGGGTGTCAGTGGAGGCCAGCTGGGGAAGCGGGGTTTCTACCTTCACCTGGAAGTAATGAGACCACACCTCCTTCCCATGGCAGCGTCAGAGGCAGCCTGTTAAAACAAAAGAACTAGAGTCTTTCAACTCAGACTTGAAACTCATTCATCATACCAAGAACAAGGAAAATCTCAACTCGGCAAGGACTTGAAAGCGGCCGTGAGCAGCTGTGAACATGCGTAAACGTGAAAAAGTAGAAAAGCTCAGCAAGGAAGCTGATACAAAGAAGAACCAGATTAGCACTAAATTTATAATAAACAAAATTAGAGACTCAGTGGATGGGTGTAATTGTACAAAGAGGACAGAGGAAAGAATTAGCAAATTTGAACATATAACAGTAGAAGTTAACTAGTCTGAACAACAGAGAGAAAATAGGCTGGGGAAAAAAATGAACAGGGCCTCAGCGATCTGTGGGACTACCCCCAAACGATCTCACATTCATTCGTTAGAGCCTCAGAAGGAAAGGAGAAAGACAGGTGAGAAGTAATCAAAGACACAAGAGCTGAAATTCCCCCAAATTTCACCAGATACATAAACCTACAAATTCAAGGAGCTGAGGAAAACTCAAACAGGATAAACCCAAAGATGTCTGCACTGAGACACATTGCTATCAAACTTCTAAAAATTAAAGGCAAACTTCTGAAAATTAAAATAAAACTCCCATCTTCCATCAATGAAGCGGAGCATGGTTGTGGAGTAATTCAAAGTTCAGGCAATTCTGGGGGGTGATCAGGAAAGACCTCTTTTTATTTATTTATTTATTTTTTGCGGTACGCGGGCCTCTCACTGTTGTGGCCTCTCCCGTTGCGGAGCACAGGCTCCGGACGCGCAGGCTCAGCGGCCATGGCTCAGGGGCCCAGCCTCTCCGCGGCACGTGGGATCCTCCCGGACCAGGGCACGAACCCGCGTCCCCTGCATCGGCAGGTGGACTCTCAACCACTGCGCCACCAGGGAAGCCCCGCAATCAGTTATTTTTAAATTAAGATATATGGGTTGTAGTTTTAGACATAATGCTATTGCACACGTAATAGACTACAGTATAAACATACTCTTTATATGCTCTAGGAAACCAAAAAAATGCATGTGATTCACTTTATTGTGATATTTGCTCTATTGCGGAGGTCTGGAACTGAACGCGCAGTATCTCCAACGTGTGCCTGTATACAAAAATAATAAGATGTTTCTAAAAGCTGCCCTGGGCCTCCCACAGGTGCCCCGGTGTTCCAGGTGAAGCCCCAAGACGTGACAGTGAGATCTGGGGATGCCGTGGCCCTGCGGTGCCAGGCCTCTGGAGAGCCGGTGCCCACGGTGGAGTGGCTGCGAGCGGGCCAGCCCTTGCGGACCAGCCGGCGGCTCAGGACCCTAACGGACGGGAGCCTGTGGCTGGAGCGCGTGGAGGCTGGGGATGCGGGCGCATATGAGTGCGTTGCTCACAACCTCCTGGGCTCTGCCGCAGCTCGGGCCTTCCTGACCGTGAGAGGTATGGAACCTCCCTGCCCAGACCTTTGTGGACGGGGGTGGGATTCCCTGCCCAGCGGGGCCTAAAACAACAGAACTATATGATCTTGTAGTTCTGAAGGGTGAAAATCTAAGATCCAGGTGCCAGCAGGGTTGGTTGCTTCTGAGATATATGGTAGAGAATCTATTGCAGGCCTCTCCCCTAGCTTCTGGGAGTTTGCTGGAGTTCCTTGACTGTAGAAGCCTTGCCCCTCTCTCTGCCTTCATGATCACGTGGCATCCTCCCTGTGCTCGTGTCTGTCTCTAAATTTCCCCTTTATATGAGGACACCAGTCATATTAGGTTAGGGCCCACCCTCACGACCTCATGTTAACATGGGTACCTCTGTACACAGACCCTACATTCAAATAAGGTCACGTGCTCGGGTACCGAGGGTTAGGACTTCAGCACATCCTTTTAGGAGGACACAGTTCAACCCATAACAGCATCCTTACTTTTTTAATGGAAACAACTAATTTGTACCTTGTGTATGTTAACTGTAGAAGGGCCAGATAATTTTTTTAAATGTGTGAAGATAAAACTAATGATAGTTAGCTCCCATAATTCATTTAGAAATAGCTCAGGTAATTATCTGGGGTATATATTTCTACACTTTTTCTCTGAATGTAAAGAGATACACTTCTTTCTTTTTACAAATGAGGTCAAGTGTACAAGTTGTGTTTACAACATGCCATATTTTCTTACTCTATCATGGACAGTAGCCTAGTTCACACCTTCTGTAATGATTTCATACCATTCCATAGGAACATGTTTTTTGTTGTTGTTGTTTTGTTTTTTGCGGTACGCGGGCCTCTCACTGTTGTGGCCTCTCCCGTTGCGGAGCACGGGCTCCGGACACGCAGGCTCAGCGGCCATGGCTCACGGGCCCAGCCGCTCCGCAGCATGTGGGATCTTCCCGGACCGGGGCACGAACCCGTGTCCCCTGCATCGGCAGGCGGACTCTCAACCACTGCGCCACCAGGGAAGCCCCATAGGAACATGTTTTAAACTTAATTGCTGTTGGCTTCATTAAATAAACAACAGGTTTGTGGGTTGTTTTTTTTTTCCAGTTTCCCCTCCAAACACCGTCCTGTGGTGCACATCTTTGTGTGCTGGACTGAATATTTCTATAGGATAAATTCCTTCAAGGGACATTGCTATATAAAAGATATTCAAAGGCGTTGAGGCCCCCTAACTCTCTCCCTCCTTTACCATAAGTCTGGGGAGGGGCACCCTGGCCTTGTGGGGGACAAGAGGCTGCTGAGTCACCTCATGTCTGAGAAGGTTGCCAGTGGCTTGTCATTCCTGGCCTCCAATTTCCTGTCCCCTTCTAAAACTGCCAGGGTCATGCTGGTGCCTTCTTGTCTGCTGCTCCCGACACCTCCTTACCCCGTTATTACAAGGCCAGGGGAAGGTTCCTGGCCTTTTCCTGTCCCCCCCATAAATCCCAGAGCTGCAGGTATTGACGAGGGACATCCCAGATGGGCATCAAATCTCATCCAACCCCAGCTAAGGGCTGCAGGAAATGGCGTTGCTTCCTGGAATCCAGAATTAACCAGCCCCCGATCTACCCACTTAGGATCTTGGCAGAGGAGTGTTGTATGTTAGTTTTTTGACAGATCATTGGCAATTCGTTGTCAATTTCCCCTGAGGGCTGGTGAGTGGAGAGTCAGGCTAGGTTCTGTCTCTTGCCATCTGTCCAAACGAGGCAGCTGGCCCATTAGCCAGAGGAAGCATCCCCCTGTGCCTGTGGAATCCATTTGATTAGTGCTGAAGAGCATCTGCTAGCAGACTGCCTGGCGGCTGCTAGGAATTCAGCCCACCCCAGCTGGGCCAGCTGCAGGGCAGCTGGAGCCAGGGCCACTGATGGAATGGGAAGCGTTCAGGTGGCAGCATTCATTTCCTGGCCCGGTGCCCTGCCTCCTCCAGTGTGCCAGGCCCCCCGCCCCCATCACTTGGCATTTTAGAACCCAACAGGTCTGTGGTGCATCTGTGGTCCCACCTCCTCATTTTATAGATAAGCCAACTCAGGTGTGGCTTGGGGGCCAGACGTGCCCAGGTTTTCAAGAAGGTGATGGCAGAGCCAGAATTAGAAGCTGGTACCGTCCCTGTGTGGGGCTCCTCTTAAACGTCTCCCTTCTGTCTAGAAGCCAGGATCCCCTGAGTGTTGAGTTCATCGCCCATTAGCTGTGTGTCCTTGGGCAAGTTACTGCCCCTCTCTGAGCCTCGGTTTACTCCTTCATGAAATGGAAAACAGTACCTGCATATCCCTGAGGGCACAGCGGTGGATAGTGTCCCTCTTGTTCTCTTCCTTCCTCACAGGGGAGCCCCGGGGGAGCCGGGGCAGCATGACTGGGGTGATCAATGGGCAGAAATTTGGTACGGCTGTCCTCAACACCAGCGTGCAGCAGGAGGCACGTTCTGGGGTCACCACCATCTGCAGCAGCATCAGCCACATCCCTGCGAGTGTGGGTAAGTGGGGGCCAGAGCACCTCCTGCGTCTGGGGACCCTCCGACCTGAGCTGAGTCTGAGTCAAAGTGGATCGAGGTGCAGGCCACCTCCTCTCCACCCCGCAGCCCCCAACCAACCAAAATAACTGCATTTAAGATCAGCCCGAGAGTGCGAAATTACCAGTATTATGTGAATGCAGGGTCAGACTGTGACTTTTGAAACCACTGATTGCTGTGTGAGGTTTTTTTCCCACTGTTAAGGCAGGAGCTGCTACCGAAGGGAAGGGGTCACTAGCAAGGAGTAAGGGATGTGGGCTGCAGGGGACAGAAAAGGGGAAACGTGGAGAGTAAAATAAGCTAGAAGGCCCAGAGAACCAAGACATGGCCACTTCCAAACAGATTCGTAAAATAGCGTGTCCTAAGCAAATGGAATGTTCTGGAGAGACGTTACAGACGCTGCTGTAATGGACCTGCCGTCTCACCCTGCCCAGGGGGTCCTGCATCCCCTCATGGGGGTCCAGAGCAGGGAGAGGGCAGTGTTGACAGGGGCTTTGCTAAGAGCAGCCCCTCCAGAGCTGCCCTTGACCACAGACTGTGTGAGCGGTGGGGGGTCAGGGGACTCTGGCTTGCGGGTGGGGGGGTCGCTCCGGGCTGGCTGTCGGCAGAGAGGGAGTGAAGTGAGACGCTGCCCAGGTGTAGCTGCTTCTTCCAGCTTCAGGAGCAGGAACCACGGAGAAGCATCTGGCTCCAGGCCGGGCGTGCCTGGCTCTGTTTAGTGGAAGCAGAGGCACAGAGAGGCCAAGACGTTTCTGCTGCCGGGGACAGGGGCCCAGCTGGCTCCTGTGAACGTCAGCCCTCTTGTACCTCTTCTGAGCCAGCAGTGTGGCTGAGAAGCTGGACCGTCCCTGGCCCCAAGCAAACAGCATTGCCCCTTCCCCAGTCCCAGGCCCCACCTGGCCAGAGAGGAGGGCTGGGCATCGCGGGAAAAGGTCTGAGAATCCGTGTCCAGGGCACTTCTGGGCTCTTTCTTCCAAGTCAGTGGTTTAGAACCATCCTCCCTCTTCCAGGCTCTTCTGGAAGGTGTCTGCAAGTTAGGTGTCTCCTAGTTGATTTTCTGCTTGGTCCAGCGTGTATGTAGTGATGGTCAATGCAGTCCCATGCTCTGTGGTGACCCGGTAGCCCTCAATATTTATTGAATTCAGTTGAATATTAAAGGCACTTTTTTGTATAAATATATTTTGCTAATTTTCACAGCTACTCCGCGAAGTAGTTTTTGTCTTCACCGCTTCCCACCTTCTGACCTAATTCCCGGCCCAGGCAATCACGGGCTAGGCCTGGGTCGGGAGGCAAAGGGCTGAGCTCTCCTGGGGGCAGCTGGGAGCTGCAGAGAGACCTTGAGCAGGAGAGCGGCTGCCCTCGGGGTCTGGCTCTAACCCAGCCTCTGTGTCCACCCCGTCCAGGGCCTCTGATGCGGGTGCTTGTGGTCGCCATCGCCCCCATCTACTGGGCTCTGGCCAGAGAGAGTGGAGATGCCCTGAACGGCCACTCCCTGACGGGCGGCCGCTTTCAGCAGGAGTCGCATGTGGAGTTTGCCACAGGTGAGCGGGGGTCTCCCCGAGGTGGGCCAGGTGGGGCTGAGGTCTGAGCCCAGGGCCTCTCCCCCGAGGTGACTCCAGGCTGGGTGGGGATGGATTGCAGGGGAGCTGCTCACAATGACCCAGGTGGCCCGGGGCCTGGATCCCGATGGCTTCCTACTCCTCGACGTGGTGGTCAATGGCATCGTCCCCGAGAGCCTGGCGGACGCAGATCTGCAAGTGCAGGTTGGGGGAGAGCCCTGGGGTGTGCAGATGGGACGCGCATGAGAGAGTGGCATGTCCTGCCCCAGCCCTCCCCGAACAGCCGGGCCCACTTTCCTTCCTGACTCCCCAGCAGGGTCTGGGGCGTGGCCTGGCTGGGCCCAGGGGAGGAATAATCCCACGGCAGGAGGGCGCTCTGACCCAGCTTCACAGACAGCTCGAGGGTGCCCAGCTGGTTGGAAGAAGAGCTGAAGGGCCCACCAGGCCCACACCCCAGCATCCCCACTGGGGGCAGAGGGTCCCTCGCCCCTTGGAAGTCGACATCGTGATGTCCTCCCCGCCGGCCTCTTGCAGGACTTCCAGGAGCAGTACGTGCAGACGGGGCCCGGCCGGCTCTTTGTGGGCTCCACGCAGAGCTTCCTGCAGGACGGCCTCCTGTCGTTCCTGCGCGGCAACCACAGCATCCGGTACGACGCGGCCCAGGGCCCCCAGCCCCAGCTGGTGCAGCACCTGCGGGCCTCCGCTGTCAGCTCGGCCTTCGACCCCGAGGCCAAGGCCCTGCGCTTCCAGCTCTCCACGGCCCTGCAAGCTGGTGAGGACCCCGTGCCCTCTCCACGCCCCCCACTGCCCCAGCCAGATCCTGCCAGGGCCCCCACAAGGGCCTGGGCTCTCTATCCCCGGGAGCCTTGGGCACTGGGGCCCTCGTGTCCTCAGGGTCTGTCCCCTTTGCCTCGCAGAAGAGAATGAAGTCGGCTGCCCAGAGGGCTTTGAGCTGGACACCCAGGGAGAGTTTTGCGTGGGTGAGCACGCCTCCCCACCCCGGCGGGGACGAGGGAGGCCTCAGCCTGGGAGGGACGGAGGGCTGGAGGGCCCGTGAGCGCAGACCACCGGACCACTCCCCACCCCGCAGACAGGGACGAGTGCTCGCGCAGTCCCAGCCCCTGCGCCCACTCCTGCCGCAACGTGCCCGGCCGCTTCTCTTGCTCCTGCCCAGCTGGCTTCACCCTGGCCGGGGACGAAAGGACCTGCAGAGGTGAGTGGGCCCCAGGTGGAGAGGCTCGTCTTGGACCCGGCCCAGGTGTGCTCAGGGAGATTCCGGGGCTGGGACCCTGGCCAGGGCGCACATCCCTCAGGGCACGTGAACCTAGGGGTTCCCATGCCCTGTTCCCACTGAGAACCTCTTATTTTGAGGGCCACAGAGGGGAGAGGCTCAAGTACCGGGGGCGATGGGGATCTCTAAAGACACGCACGTGGCCGCCACGTGCTCGTGGCACGCACACCCGCTGAGCCTGGACGCGGCCCCAGAAGCTTTCCCAGCCCTCAGCGGGCATTTCCAGTCCACCGGGCTTGGAAGTGAGCTGATACCCGTCTGGCCTGCTTGCCCTGCTTGCCCCCATAATGAAGCTGCTGGACGATGAATCTGACCCTGGGACGCTGTCTGGACTCTGATCCCACACCCGTGTCCCTCCATCCCACCCACGGGGCCTGGTGTGGCCAAGTCTCTTCGGGGCACCCAAAGGGCATTATCGCAGCCTCACATCAGATGCTCCAGGCCAGGGCCTCCGGGCCCCTCAGGGGAGGCTCTGTGTGTCTGGGGGTGCCGAGATGATGGACAGAGCTAGCAGGAGGGGCGGGGACCTTCCTGCCAGGGGCTTCTGGGCCTAAGGACAAAGGCTGTGTGGGTAGGCGGGGCCTGGGGACGAGTGTTCCTGCAGCCCCTGCCCCCGTGCCCCCCCCCAGATGTGGACGAGTGCGCTTGGGAGGCCGACGCTTGCCGAGAGGGACAGCGCTGCGTGAACCTGCTGGGGTCCTACCGCTGCCTCCCTAACTGCAGGCCCGGCTTCCGGGTGGCCACTGATGGAGCCGGCTGTGAAGGTGACAGGGGCAGGGTGCCGGGCTGTCCCGACTCCCGGGGACCCAGTGGTTGCCAGGGTTCAGCAGAGGGCGTGCTGTGTGTCACTGGGACGCTGGGCCTTCGGGGAAACTGGAACTCTCTTGGCAGAAGGAGTCGAGTGAGGCCGGGGAGAAAGCCTGAGCTGGGCTCAGGAGGTCTGAGTCCTGACCCAGCCTGGCTGCTGGTGACTTGAGTCCCTTTGGCAAGTGTCTTTTCCTTTCTGGGTCTCAGGCTTCTCATCTGTCTGATGAAGGGGGACCAGGTCAGGGATGGCACACGTGTGCTACAGCTACTGCCACTTCCCCTCTTTCCCCTCGTGGGTCACGGTCCAGCCCACAGACAGCCTCTGAATCCTTCTCAACACGGCTGCTCCAGCTACAGTGGCTACTAGGAATCAGTGGCAGTGGGCCTTTGAGACAAAACCTAGGTGCCACCCCTGGATGGGTGACCTCTAGGGTCCTTCCTGTTCTAGAATTCTAGGCTTTCATGACTGTGGGTCCTCCTGGTTTCCCCAAGAGAGGCCGTCAGTGGAGAGGGAGAGCAAGGTAAACTTGGACTCAGAAGAGGCAGTCCTCCCACTATTTCATCCCATTTCATCCCATTTCTAGGGTTGCTCCTGCCTTCCTCCCGCCCTCCCTTCCTTTCTTCTCACCAGTTTTTGAGCCCGGCCCATAGACCAGGGTCCTAAGCCCTTCAGGTGCATATGATCCAGTTTTCTCCCCATGATCCCATGAAGGAGTCCTATCGTGACCCCTTTTTACAGATGCGGAAACTGAGGCTCAGAGAGGGACAGTTACTGGCTCAAGGATCAGGAGACATGGCAGAGCTGAGTCCAAACCCAGGACTCTGCCTCCAAAGCCCACCTTTTAAGCCCCTTCCTTCTTTTGGACCCAGAACCTTCTTACCCTCCAAAGCTGGTATAATTAGGAAGGGTGGTGGCAAACGCTGGCATTCCTCCTGGTGGCACTGAAGTTGGAGATGGGGACGCAGATGAGGCCCAGATGCGGAGACGCGTGGTATGTCCTAGGGGGAGGGACTGTGGGCTCAGCACCCCCCCGCCCTCGCCCCTGCCTTTCCAGATGTGGACGAGTGTCTGGAGCAGACGGACGAGTGTCACTACAGCCAGATCTGTGAGAACACCCCAGGCGGGCACCGCTGCGGCTGCCCCAGGGGGTACCGGGCCCAGGGCCCCGGCCTGCCCTGCCTAGGTATGGGGAGAGCCACGCCCTCCCTGGGACCCTGGTCAGCACCCACAGCTCACGGGCAGGGATCGGTTATGACGGGTGACGCTGAGTTCTGTGAATAGAACAGCAGCCGACACCGATTGCGTGCCCAGCATGTGACTGATCTGTGCTTTGCCTGCTGTTTCCACCGAAACCTCACCCCCTGCCCGGCCAGGTCACCTTCCCTGGGAGCCCAGGAGGAGGAGGCGGGTGGAGAGAAGTGGGTGGGTCTCAGAGAAGCTTTGCAGGTGGAATGGACCTCACCAGGAGGCTGAAGGGAGGGGTGCTGAGGGACACTGGGGTCTGGAGCCCAGAGCTGGGGGCGGTGGGGGGGTCCCCTCTGAGCAGCAGAGGCTGCAGCGGGAGAGGTGGCTGGGGGTGGTCCAGGAGAGGGAGGGCTTGGGGGCAGGCCTGTGTGCACGGGTGAGGCAGCTGGATTCTGGGGAGGGCCGGAGAGCAGCAGAGGCGGCTGGAGCCCGGTGGAGCGGCTGCCGCGCGCCCTGAGCCACCTTGGCACCCTGCCTGGCTCTGCTCCTCTCCAGATATCAACGAGTGCCAGCAGCTGCCCCGGAGCTGTGCCTACCAGTGCCTCAACCTCCAGGGCAGCTACCGCTGCCTGTGCCCGCCAGGCCAGACCCTCCTCCAAGACGGCAAGACTTGCGCCCTGCTGGAGCGCAGTGGACCAAACGTGACCACCGTCAGCCACCGGGACCCCTTGGTGGCCTGGCTGCGTCCCCGCGCCCCCGTCCCCGCTGGGTCCTACCACGCCTGGGTCTCCCTCCAACCGGGCCCCAGAGCCCTGAGCACGGGCCGGGCCTGGTGCCCTCCTGGCTTCATCCGGCAGAACGGCGTCTGCACGGGTAAGACCGAGCCCCAGCCGTGCCCACCGGGGACACACCCTGCTATGTTGTCTCAGGCTCCTGGGCTGGGCGTGTGGGTACCACACCCGTGTTCAGAAACCCAGGGTTCACAGGCAAGCGGGGTAGGCGGTGCAGGCAGATGGAAGCCTCCTTGCTACGAGGTTTCTTGGAGTCCTGGCTGTGCTCATCGGCGAGGGGCTTCCACAGCGGATGGAGTCCTGTCCAAACCATTTGACTTCAGAACACTTTACCCAGAGGGAGGGCAGATGTTCCCAGGAACCCACTTTGAGAACATGCCTCTTGGTGTGCAGAGGTGAAGTAGTCAGGCAGGGAAGGAGTATGTTCCAGGTTGACATGAGAATGTGAACAGGGACCGGGGGTTGCTACAGGGGCAGGGGGTGTCGAGGAGAGTCCCTGGGCCCTGCGGAGACTGGCGCCGGGCTGCAGAGGTGCGAAGGGGGAGGGTAGCCTGGAGGGCGGATGTGCTTCAGCGTTGCCGCCTGGGCAGAGGGTGTCCTGGAAGCGCTGTCTCCACCCCCCATGCCTTGGTGCAGAGCAAGCCCAGGGAGTCTCCTAACCTCGCAATCCAGGGTTGGGTGGGGCAGGGCAGGGAGAAGCCCGGGTGCCTAAGGCAGGGACTTCCCTGGCTTGTCCCGAGCCCTGCGGTTAGTCGTGTGGCCACCTGGGCGTCTGTGACTCAGTGTTTCTCTGTCCCCATCCCCCCACCCCGCCCCCATGCCCCGGGCCAGACCTGGACGAGTGCCGGGTGAGGGACCTGTGCCAGCACGCCTGCCGAAACACCGAGGGCAGCTACCAGTGCCTCTGCCCCGCTGGCTACCGCCTCCTCCCCAGCGGGAAGAACTGCCAGGGTGAGCAGGAAGGGGCTTCTCTCACCCAGTCTGCTCTCTCCAGCCCCTTCCCAACCATCTCATGTGAGGGAGGGGCAGGGAGGGGGTAAATGCCACCCCCAGGTGGCCAGAGCCAGGCCGGGACCCACACTCCAAGCAGGAGCTAAGAAACTGCATGGGCAGCTCTGAAAACAGCCCTGGGGGTCGGCTGCTGCTCTGCTGTGTGTCACTGGGCAACTCACTTCACCTCTCTGTGCCTCAGTCTCCTGGTGAGATGGGGCTAACAGAGCCCTCCCCTAAATGTTGGGGAGAGACGTGTGGAGGGCGGGCACAGAGCCGGTGCTCGCAGCAAGGCAGCTGCTGCTGGGAGTAGCAGGGAAGTCCTCTAACTTCCAGGCCAGTGCATTTTCCCTAACTAAGGTGCTCTGGGGTCCGGCCAGCCATGCTGCTTCTTCCCTGTAAAGCAGGAATCATGTCTGCCTTGCCAGTCTCCATCCCCCCCTCTCTGTCACGGGGGTCAGTGATTGTCCTCTGAGAGAGTGGGGCTCCTCCGGGGGGCAGAGAAGGATCATGGGCAGTGACTCCTCTGGGTCCGAGGGCAGCCCTCATCTCCCCCAGCCTCTCCACCCCAGCTGTAGCCTTAGGAGGTCCCCAGAGTGCCCACCTGGGGAAATGGGGAGGTGCTAGGAGACTGCCACCTGGGCTATCATGGGTCAGGCTGGCTGGGGACCGGGGAAGGGGCCGTGCACCTCGCTGCCCTCGGAAGGCATCTCTCTCCCACTTAACCCTCCCCCCACGCCTTCCCTGGCTCCTTCTTGGGCCCCTCCCCCTTTGCTCCATCTTTTTACCCCCCATCTCTTCACCTACTTCCCTGCCCAGACATCGACGAGTGTCAGGAGGACGGCATCGAGTGCGGGCCCAGCCAGATATGCTTCAACACCCGCGGCAGCTACCAGTGTGTGAACACGCCGTGTCCTGCCACCTTCCGGCAGGGCTCCAGCCCTGGGTAAGGGCTGAGTTGGCAAGGGGGCGAATGGGGAGGATTCCCTGCCAGGATCTGGGCAGCCGACACTCTGGCTCCTGTATAGCCAGAAGGAGGAAGGAGGGCCTCCAGGAAGGCCCTGTCTTGGGCAGAGACCCTCTTAGGGTCATTGGGTCAACCCTGCCAGGACTCCTGGGTGGGGCCCCTGAGCTCACGGGGCAGTGTGCCCTCAAGCACTTTCCTGCAGCCACTTGGGGTGAGAGCTCACCTGGACAGTATCATTCCCTGCACAGTGATGCTTGGGCCATGCGTGGAGCACAGGGGGCTGGGAGACGCCAGAGTCGGGAGAGAACTGGAGGGAGGGGTGCTGGGAGATGGACACACAGGGACACATGGGAACACATGCATACATTCAGGAAACTCTGGACACAGGAACACACGTGCAGGTGCATAAACCCCACCCAGAATCCCACGCAAAACCCCAGGGCTCAGACACGCGCAGCTACACAAACACAAAATACATTTCTCTCACTATGGCTACAGACACTCCTAAACGTGCACAGACGCGGGGACGGGCCTTGGCTGGCGCCAACCGGCTGCAGCTGTTAGGGGAAGGAACCTGGGGTGGCGACTTGCCCCGGACTCTACTAACCAGGAAGCCTAGGCTGAGGTGGGGGGAAAGAGGGAGTGGGCGCCCTTGGCAAGGCTGAGCACGAGTCTTTGAGCACAACCCCACCCCCCCAAATCCAGAGCCCGTGACTCAGCTCTGGGGCTCCGGGGGACATGGAGGGCTGTAAATTTTATCACCTATGGGGGGACCTGCTCAGATGGGAAAGGGCACGTCTCTGGCTTCCTGGGGCCTCAGTTTGCTGCTCTCTAAAATGGGCTAACAGTGGCGCTTGTAGAGAGGCACAGGGCGCGTGGGGTGGGGGGTCGGCGCATGGTTGAACTGCGGAGGTCGGGGGTGAGATCCGCTTTATGCGACCGGGCACGCTCAGATGGCAACCCAGAGTCCGTCGGTCTGCCCCGCCCGCAGGACGTGCTTCCGGCGCTGCTCGCAGGACTGCAGCGCGGGCGGCCCCTCCACGCTGCAGTACAAGTTGCTGCCGCTGCCCCTGGGCGTGCGCGCCCTCCAAGAAGTGGCCCGCCTGGCCGCCCTCTCCGAGGCCGGCGTCCCCGCCAACCGCACGGAGCTCAGCGTGCTCGAGTCCGACCCGCGCAGCCCCTTCGCCCTGCGCCCGCTGCGCGCCGGCCGCGGCGCGGTCTACACCCGCCGCGCGCTCACCCGCGCGGGCCTCTACCGGCTCACCGTGCGCGCCGCGGCGCCGCGCCACCAAAGCGTCTTCGTCTTGCTCATCGCCGTGTCCCCCTACCCCTACTGAGGGTCGCAGTCGTGGGCAGCGGCTCTGGGGCCAGCGACCTCCGGGGATGGGGGGTGGAGAGGCCCCGGCCGCACCGCCCAGGTGGCCCTTGCCCACGCCACCTGCTGTGGCAAGCGACGTCATCTTCTCCCGTCCCGTGCGTCAGCGAGACCTGCAGCAAACACGACCCTGCGCGCAGCCTTGACCCTGGGACAGCGAGAACCCGAGCTCCCCCTAGTCCCCCGCCCCCCGCCCCGTGGGGGTGGAGCCCGGCAGGCAGGTGACAAAGGCTGCCCTTAGGTGGCAAAGGGCAAAGGGTTGAGGTGAAGCCTGACCAGCTTCTCCAGGCTTGCCCCAAGCCCCAGGGGAACCTGGCCCGGGACACAGGGCACCAAGACACCCGAGGGGAGGGGCACACCCTACTCTGTGGGGACGGCGGCAGTTGTCACCCGCCCATACCTGGCACTGTCATCCTGACCCGGTGTGTGTATGTATACTATAAAAACGTTTGCTTTTACCAATTCGATTTCTTGATCCAGTTATCTTGCTTTGGTAAGGAGGGGCTTTGGCTGGGAGGGAGACCACCACCCTTCTGGTCCAGGAGCACCAGAGGAGGAGTCCAGGAGCCTCTGCTCTTTATTCGTAGGGCGGCTCTGGCACCTTTCTGGGCTCAGTTTAGTCGTCCAAAAATATGAAAATACGACAGTGTCCCCACCCCCAGGGCTGTGGGGAGAATTAAATGAGAAGGAAATTTATCACACAGACAGCAGCTATCCATGGTAGCAAAAAGTAATGCTTAATTAAGAATAATTCCTAATTATATTTAATGAATTAATTAAATTTAACCATTCCGTCATCCACCAAAGATTCATTAGGTCCTGCTTATGTGCCAGGCGGTGAACGTAAAAATCCCTGTGCTTGTGAACTTACGTTCTTCGAGGCGAAGCGTTTATAAACAGCAAGGAAATGAAGAGTGAAATGTGTACTTGTCTGTCAGCGAGGGTGCTGGGGAGAAAACCTAAGCTGGGAAGGGCGGGTTAGGGGGCAGTTTTTAATAGGCCGTCAGCGCGGGCCTCACTGAGAAGGCGGCATCGGAGCAGAGACCTGAGCAAGGTGAGGGAGACAGCCGTGCAGACATCTGCGGGAAGGGTGTTTTGGCGGAGGGAACAGCAAATACCAGGGCCTTCTGGCAGGAGGATGCTCTGGGGTGGTGGTGGGGTAGCTGGAGCTGGGGGTCGGTGGGGGGAAGGAAGAGGGAGGTGTGATTAGAAAGGTAAGCGGGGTGGGGCAGATCCTGGGAGCCTCTGGGCCTGTGTAGGGCTCTTGGCTTTGACAGGGGGAGCTGGGGAGGGACACGATTAGAGTGTCTATTTATGTATTGACCTGTCTCCAGTGTGCTGGGACAGGACTCCTGAGAAGCCCAGCGCTGCTTTTCCTCCCACTCCCCGCCGACCCTGTCCCTGCCCTCCTGCCTGGGCTGCCTGCAGCCCCTGCCAGCTGTCCCTCAACACAGTCTCTGGCAGAAGGAGGCTGTCTGTCTTGCACGTGGTTCTGGAGAGGAGGGATCCTTTCTTCCGGCTGTCTTTGGTCAGTGTGACTCTGTCACCTACCCCTTAGCATCCCCGTCTCTCATCTGGGCAACAAGGAAAGCTGAGTTATTTCCCACTAAGGTATGAATGACCATCAGACTTCATAAACGGAGCCTTCCAGCAATGCTGGGGTGAACGGAGAAGGAATCTCTGTGTGCATTTTACAGATGGAGAAAAGGACGCCCAGAGGGAACATGGCCCAGTCACTTGCTTGATAGGTGACCGGTTAATGGTTAGACGGGGACTCCTGACTCCCACCAACAGCCCCAACTGAATCTTCCCCAGGGCACTCCCACTTTCAAAGTTGGTTTCTTTTGAATCAGAGGTCTGCAAACATCTTCTGTAAAGGACCAGATAGTGAATCTTTTTGGCTTTGGGGAACGTATTAAGCTACTCCCCTGGCCGTTGCAGGGCAAAAGCGGCCACAGCCAACACACAAAGGCGGAGTGTGGCTGAGTTCCAGTAACGCTTTGTTTGCGGGCTCTAACTTCGAATTCATGTCATTTTCATGTGTCGTGGAAGTCTTTTTTTGATTTTTTTTCAACCATTTACAAATGCAAAAACCATTCTTAGCTTGCAAGCTTTACAAAACCAGTTAGGGACCATAGTTGGCCAATCCCTGGTTTAAAGCACAGAAGTTACCAATGGTGAAATTTCAGGCTGGGTGGGGAGAGATTCCAGGAAGGAGGGAAGCAGGGAGGGAGGAAGGGGCTTCCCAGTTCCCCCTCATACGCCATTTGTCCAGGGCCCAACCTGTAGAGACTTTACTTGGACTGAACTACCCTCTTTGTGCAGCCCTAGGGGCCATGGGTCACAACTTGACCCCTGCCGTTTGCTGGGCTGTTAATATTTTATGGAGCCAGGGACGTTGCAGCCCATGCAAGTGTCAGCCCTGGGGCCGTGGCATCGAAGCGCTGAGAACTGCCGCTCTCTCCTGCCTCGTGCTCCCCAGACTCACCCTGGCCCTTCATGTTTGTCAAAATACCATTTGTAGACTGTTCAATGCCCTATAGACCTGAGTTTATTTAATTCTCCCAGGAACTCCAGAGGCAAAGAATATTATGTCCATTTCACAGATGAACGATGGGGGCTCAGAGAAGGTGAGCCACTTGTCCAAACTCACACAGCATGGAGGGGAGGGGAAGAGAAGGACTCGATGCAGGCCCATCTGACTCTGCAGCCCAGGCCTCCAGCCTCCAGGCTCCCCTACCTCCATTCTCCAAGGAGGGAAGATGGGGAGAGAGGAAGGTCCAGGCGCAGAGGCTGAAAAGGAGGGACATCGGCAACTCAAGCCCGGAGGAGCTGCCCAGGGAGTGTGCATTCCGTCGGCCTCCTTTCTCTCCCACCTTCTCCTAAATTTCCCATTCGAGGCTCTGAAACAGGGGCAAGTGAGAAGGAGCGATTGCTCAAAGTCCCACAGCAAGCCAGGGGCAGAGTTGGCCTGGAATCCAGGCTGTGATTCCGAGTCTCGTGCTCCCCACTCCCCCCACATCCACAGGATGGTTGCCGAGGAGAGGAGGTGCCTCCCAAGGGAGCTCAGCTCCAAAGGGGTGTTTTCCACTCTGCTTTTCCAGCTGCCGCCACCATTGGCCAGGGCCCCATCCAGCCGCCCGGCCTCTGAGGCTTCTCTGAACCATCAGGGCTGGAAAACAGCCCTGCAGGTCACTCATTAAACTCCCTGATGCAGCTTTTCCAAGAGCCCACACTGGACTTTATGTTCCCTCTGGGCAGGGACTGGTAACCTGGGGTCCAGCCCAGAGGACACTCTTTGTTTCTGGGGCCAGTGCCCAGGCCTGGACAGCAGCAAAGTGGCTTCTGGTGTCAACCATGAGATGGTTGCTGGGCGAGGTGCTTGGGGTCGCTACACACCCTGGGCCCTCCACGACCTGCGAGTGCAGAGCCCTTGAGTGGCAGAGGAGAGACGGAGGATAAGAGGGACCTACTCCACGGTTAGGTCCACAGGCTGCATCTATGTTTTTAGGTTGCCAGGGGACTTAACAAGGTCACATCCATTGAGTGTGCCCTTCAGTTCAGACAAGTTGACCCCACAGTCAGAGCTGACCCTTGGAAAATGCACCCTGGCTGCAGTGTGGAGGGTGCATTAGAGCGGACAGGAAGACAGGTGAGGTGTCTCCTGCAGAGGTACGGGTGAGAGGTGATGGTGATCTAAGACCACAGCAGTGAGGGGAATTCCCTGGTGGTCCAGTGGTTAGGACTTGACACTTTCACTGTCGTAGGCCCAGGTTCCATCCCTGGTTGGGGAACTAGGATCCCGCAGTCTGCACGGCACAGCCAAAAATAAATAAATAAATAAATAAAATAAAAAGGGGGGAAAAAAAGAAAGACAACAGCAGTGGGGAGAGGGGGAGGGGACCAGAGCCCTCATTTTCCTCTCTTTTGTTGCCGGAGATTTCAGGCAACTCTTGTGTGCCAGCATGAGAGACAGCATATGACAAGGGACCAATGTGGTGGGAGGAGGGGAAGGGGTCAGAGAAGCATCCCCAAGGAATAGTATGTGCAAAGACCGTAAGACAAGGAAGAGCTTGGCACATTGAAGAAATTGCAAGCAGGCCAGTGCAGCTGGAGTGCAGTGGGTGGGGGCAGAAGAGGAAGTACAGGGTTCTAGATTTTATCCTAAGAATGATGGGGGACCATCAAAGTCTTCATAGAAATCATTTCAACTCAATATTTCAGAATTCATTATCTCTAAACTTTAAAGAATATTTTTAAAAAAGATATCTACAATACCATTATCATACTTTAAAAAATCAACAATAATTCCTTGCTATCAAGCATCCTGTCAGTGTTCAAACTTCCAATTGCTCATAAAGACGGTATTTCTTTTTTGCTTAAAAAAAAAACCCCAGGATCCAAATAAAGGCTACATGTTATGATTGATTACATCCTCTGCGTGTCTTTTAACTCAAAGTTCCCCTGTCTCTCTTTTTCTTAAAAACAAACTTTATTGAGATAGAATTAGTCTGGGAATGCAAGGTTGGTTCAACACCTGAAAATCAAGCAATGTAATTTACCACATTTACAGAATAAAGAGAAAATCGTATCGTCTCAATAGATGCAGAAAAAAACATTTGACAAAGTTCAGTCCCTACTCATGACAAAAACATAAAAGTGAACTTCTTCACCTGTGAAAAACATCTAATAAAAACCTACAACTAACACCGTACTTAATGGTGAAAGACTGAATGAATGATCCTCTAAGATCATGAACAAGCCAAGGATATCCACTCCCACCAATTCTATTCAACATTGTACTGGGGTCCTCACCATTGGAATAAGGCAAGAAAAAAGGCACAAAGATAATACAGGGAAAGGGGAAAACTGTCTCTATTCACAGTCAACATTATTGTCTGTATAGAAAACCCTAAGGTATTTACAAAACTCTACTAGAATTAATCAGCAAATTTAGCAAGTGCAGAAGACAAGGCCAGTAAACAAAAATCAGTTGTGTTTCTATATATTAACAACAACTGATTGGAAAATAAAATTTTAAATACTATTTACAAGAGTATCAAAAAACTTAAAAGACTTAGAAATAAATTTAATGAAAGATAAGCAAGACCTGTACACTGAAAACTATAAAACATTGCTTAGACACCTGAGTCAAGATGGAGCTTTCGGCACTCCTACTGAAAATGAGGACATTTGTACCACCCATCAGAGATGCCCCACGTGCCAGGTCTTCGTCTTCTCTAAACAAAAGGCTTGGGCATTTGCCTGAGCATCGGCTGCCACCTGGCAAGTCATCCAAGGTGTCCAATAAAATATCCGTCTCAAAGCTGGGCTCTGGAGCAGCCATACCTCTGACCCCAAGAAGCCCTATCTCTTCTAGCGCCAGAGGTGACCTGTTCACACTGATGCCACGGATCCCAGCCCTTTCCCATAATAGCCACACATGCTTTC